GTGTGACCGGCAACTAGCAGTCTGGGACATTGTGAGTACAGACAGTATTGCTCTGAGGGGTAGAAATAGACAGACAGTGTGATCGGCAACTAGCAGTCTGGGACATTGTGAGTACAGACAGTATTGCTCTGAGGGGTAGAAATAGACAGACAGTGTGACCGGCAACTAGCAGTCTGGGACATTGTGAGTACAGACAGTATTGCTCTGAGGGGTAGAAATAGACAGACAGTGTGATCGGCAACTAGCAGTCTGGGACATTGTGAGTACAGACAGTATTGCTCTGAGGGGTAGAAATAGACAGACAGTGTGATCGGCAACTAGCAGTCTGGGACATTGTGAGTACAGACAGTATTGCTCTGAGGGGTAGAAATAGACAGACAGTGTGATCGGCAACTAGCAGTCTGGGACATTGTGAGTACAGACAGTATTGCTCTGAGGGGTAGAAATAGACAGACAGTGTGATCGGCAACTAGCAGTCTGGGACATTGTGAGTACAGACAGTATTGCTCTGAGGGGTAGAAATAGACAGACAGTGTGATCGGCAACTAGCAGTCTGGGACATTGTGAGTACAGACAGTATTGCTCTGAGGGGTAGAAATAGACAGACAGTGTGATCGGCAACTAGCAGTCTGGGACATTGTGAGTACAGACAGTATTGCTCTGAGGGGTAGAAATAGACAGACAGTGTGATCGGCAACTAGCAGTCTGGGACATTGTGAGTACAGACAGTATTGCTCTGAGGGGTAGAAATAGACAGACAGTGTGATCGGCAACTAGCAGTCTGGGACATTGTGAGTACAGACAGTATTGCTCTGAGGGGTAGAAATAGACAGACAGTGTGACCGGCAACTAGCAGTCTGGGACATTGTGAGTACAGACAGTATTGCTCTGAGGGGTAGAAATAGACAGACAGTGTGACCGGCAACTAGCAGTCTGGGACATTGTGAGTACAGACAGTATTGCTCTGAGGGGTAGAAATAGACAGACAGTGTGATCGGCAACTAGCAGTCTGGGACATTGTGAGTACAGACAGTATTGCTCTGAGGGGTAGAAATAGACAGACAGTGTGATCGGCAACTAGCAGTCTGGGACATTGTGAGTACAGACAGTATTGCTCTGAGGGGTAGAAATAGACAGACAGTGTGATCGGCAACTAGCAGTCTGGGACATTGTGAGTACAGACAGTATTGCTCTGAGGGGTAGAAATAGACAGACAGTGTGATCGGCAACTAGCAGTCTGGGACATTGTGAGTACAGACAGTATTGCTCTGAGGGGTAGAAATAGACAGACAGTGTGACCGGCAACTAGCAGTCTGGGACATTGTGAGTACAGACAGTATTGCTCTGAGGGGTAGAAATAGACAGACAGTGTGATCGGCAACTAGCAGTCTGGGACATTGTGAGTACAGACAGTATTGCTCTGAGGGGTAGAAATAGACAGACAGTGTGATCGGCAACTAGCAGTCTGGGACATTGTGAGTACAGACAGTATTGCTCTGAGGGGTAGAAATAGACAGACAGTGTGATCGGCAACTAGCAGTCTGGGACATTGTGAGTACAGACAGTATTGCTCTGAGGGGTAGAAATAGACAGACAGTGTGATCGGCAACTAGCAGTCTGGGACATTGTGAGTACAGACAGTATTGCTCTGAGGGGTAGAAATAGACAGACAGTGTGATCGGCAACTAGCAGTCTGGGACATTGTGAGTACAGACAGTATTGCTCTGAGGGGTAGAAATAGACAGACAGTGTGATCGGCAACTAGCAGTCTGGGACATTGTGAGTACAGACAGTATTGCTCTGAGGGGTAGAAATAGACAGACAGTGTGATCGGCAACTAGCAGTCTGGGACATTGTGAGTACAGACAGTATTGCTCTGAGGGGTAGAAATAGACAGACAGTGTGATCGGCAACTAGCAGTCTGGGACATTGTGAGTACAGACAGTATTGCTCTGAGGGGTAGAAATAGACAGACAGTGTGATCGGCAACTAGCAGTCTGGGACATTGTGAGTACAGACAGTATTGCTCTGAGGGGTAGAAATAGACAGACAGTGTGATCGGCAACTAGCAGTCTGGGACATTGTGAGTACAGACAGTATTGCTCTGAGGGGTAGAAATAGACAGACAGTGTGATCGGCAACTAGCAGTCTGGGACATTGTGAGTACAGACAGTATTGCTCTGAGGGGTAGAAATAGACAGACAGTGTGATCGGCAACTAGCAGTCTGGGACATTGTGAGTACAGACAGTATTGCTCTGAGGGGTAGAAATAGACAGACAGTGTGATCCGGCAACTAGCAGTCTGGGACATTGTGAGTACAGACAGTATTGCTCTGAGGGGTAGAAATAGACAGACAGTGTGACCGGCAACTAGCAGTCTGGGACATTGTGAGTACAGACAGTATTGCTCTGAGGGGTAGAAATAGACAGACAGTGTGATCGGCAACTAGCAGTCTGGGACATTGTGAGTACAGACAGTATTGCTCTGAGGGGTAGAAATAGACAGACAGTGTGATCGGCAACTAGCAGTCTGGGACATTGTGAGTACAGACAGTATTGCTCTGAGGGGTAGAAATAGACAGACAGTGTGACCGGCAACTAGCAGTCTGGGACATTGTGAGTACAGACAGTATTGCTCTGAGGGGTAGAAATAGACAGACAGTGTGATCGGCAACTAGCAGTCTGGGACATTGTGAGTACAGACAGTATTGCTCTGAGGGGTAGAAATAGACAGACAGTGTGACCGGCAACTAGCAGTCTGGGACATTGTGAGTACAGACAGTATTGCTCTGAGGGGGTAGAAATAGACAGACAGTGTGATCGGCAACTAGCAGTCTGGGACATTGTGAGTACAGACAGTATTGCTCTGAGGGGTAGAAATAGACAGACAGTGTGATCGGCAACTAGCAGTCTGGGACATTGTGAGTACAGACAGTATTGCTCTGAGGGGTAGAAATAGACAGACAGTGTGATCGGCAACTAGCAGTCTGGGACATTGTGAGTACAGACAGTATTGCTCTGAGGGGTAGAAATAGACAGACAGTGTGATCGGCAACTAGCAGTCTGGGACATTGTGAGTACAGACAGTATTGCTCTGAGGGGTAGAAATAGACAGACAGTGTGATCGGCAACTAGCAGTCTGGGACATTGTGAGTACAGACAGTATTGCTCTGAGGGGTAGAAATAGACAGACAGTGTGATCGGCAACTAGCAGTCTGGGACATTGTGAGTACAGACAGTATTGCTCTGAGGGGTAGAAATAGACAGACAGTGTGATCGGCAACTAGCAGTCTGGGACATTGTGAGTACAGACAGTATTGCTCTGAGGGGTAGAAATAGACAGACAGTGTGATCGGCAACTAGCAGTCTGGGACATTGTGAGTACAGACAGTATTGCTCTGAGGGTAGAAATAGACAGACAGTGTGATCGGCAACTAGCAGTCTGGGACATTGTGAGTACAGACAGTATTGCTCTGAGGGGTAGAAATAGACAGACAGTGTGATCGGCAACTAGCAGTCTGGGACATTGTGAGTACAGACAGTATTGCTCTGAGGGGTAGAAATAGACAGACAGTGTGACCGGCAACTAGCAGTCTGGGACATTGTGAGTACAGACAGTATTGCTCTGAGGGGTAGAAATAGACAGACAGTGTGATCGGCAACTAGCAGTCTGGGACATTGTGAGTACAGACAGTATTGCTCTGAGGGGTAGAAATAGACAGACAGTGTGATCGGCAACTAGCAGTCTGGGACATTGTGAGTACAGACGGTATTGCTCTGAGGGGTAGAAATAGACAGACAGTGTGATCGGCAACTAGCAGTCTGGGACATTGTGAGTACAGACGGTATTGCTCTGAGGGGTAGAAATAGACAGACAGTGTGACCGGCAACTAGCAGTCTGGGACATTGTGAGTACAGACGGTATTGCTCTGAGGGGTAGAAATAGACAGACAGACAGACAGGGGCAGAAATAGACAGACAGACAGACAGACAGGGGTAGAAATAGACAGACAGACAGACAGACAGACAGGGGTAGAAATAGACAGACAGACAGACAGGGGCAGAAATAGACAGACAGACAGGGGCAGAAATAGATGGACATTTAGATGGTTTTTAGAGTTAAATATCATATAACAGATGACTAATTTGGATCGGGATGTCATTCACTGAGACATGGCAAATTGTCATCATAACCTGATGATATGGGACGCTGATATTTTTTTATGTAAGAGCAGGGTATGAAACTCCCAAACATTTCAGCCAGTCCACTGGACTGGCTACCTGAAATACTTGCCAGCCCTGACCAAAACCCGCCTGCCCACTATAATCATATGTTTCTCAGGATAAGCTAACGGGGTTTCTTTTTGGTTACATTTTATCATTCATCTTTACATGTGAATTAATGCTTATCATCGGGAAATATTTAGAATATGAAATTTGAATTTGCCTTGAATTTGAAAATCTGGCAGCCCGAGTTGAAATCAACCCGTCTCGGACGGTCGGGCAGGCAGGTATTTCGAACACTGGTAAGAGGTATCCTATTTAGGTCTGGTTGGGACATGGATAATATGTGATGTAAAAGACAAAATGATGAAGGCGACTAATTTTGGATCAGGTTGATAGTTGTCTGATTGTGTTTTCATCGTAACCTGATATTGAACTGTCATGCTTTCAATCTCTTGAGGCGGTGGGGTAGTCTTGTGGTTAAAGATTTCAATCGTCACGTGAAGACTCAGATTCGATTCCTCACATGGGTACAATGTGTGAAGCCCATTTCTGGTGTCCCCCTGTCGTAATATTGCTGGAATATTGTTTAAAGCGGCGTAAAACTATATTCACTCAATAAATCAATCACTGGATTGTCTGTTTCAGACTTGATTAGTTTTTACAGACAAACGTTATATAGCTGGAATATTGCTGAGTGCATCGTTAAACAAAAACTAAATAAAGATTCTAGTTTCCCGGCAAGCCTTGATAGAAAGTATGTTTGGTGTTTTCAGAGGAACATGACAACTGCACAGAGAATAGATGGCATCGACTGTTCCAATGGAGTTATACAGCCTTACTACGACCCAGACGTGCGGGTGGTGTTTTTAGCAGGGAAGGTATGTGATGGATGTAACAAACAAACCTAGTTGTGATACTTTCAGATAAGGGACACAGGTTCAATTGACTTAATGAGTACAATTTGTGAAAAGATATTTGTTAAAAAAAATTTCTTCGGCAAAATAACTGCTTTAGAGTTTGTGTTAACACAAAAAATGTTAAATTAAATTTATTGCACATTTATTAATTGAAAATGTGTTTTGTTTGTGTTTCCCTGTGGTATCTATGTCCAGAACCTCGATTTGTGTTGTCCAATTGTCTATGGCACCACAGGGGCGGTCGGGTAGCCTAGTGGTTAAAGCGTTCGCTCGTCACGCCGAAGACCCGGGTTCGATTCCCGACATGGGTACAATGTGTGAAGCCCATTTCTGGTGTCCCCCGCCGAGATATTGCTGGAATATTGCTAAAAGAGGCGTAAAACCATACTCACTCACTATGGCACCACGGGGGCACGAGTTGCCAAGTCGTCAGCCACGGTTCGCTGTGCAGAGTTGCATCCCTTGGGTAGCCAGGAGCCTATGATAGTGGGTTCGAATCCCGGTTTGCCTTGATTATGTTTCTAGGTTTGTCAGCACCGTACTCGTGCTTGTGGGTTTCACCGAAGAGGTCAACGTCTAAGACCTGCATCACTTCGAGCTTTCTTCCCACATGAAGCTGACACGCCGCGATATAACTGTAATACTGTTAAAAGCGGCGTTAAACCCAATTCACTCACTCACTCTAAGGCATCACAATTTGCTGTATAGAGTTGTGTCTCTAAGGTGGACCAGGAACCTATGAATGTGGGTTGGAATCCCGGATAGCCTTGATTATATTTCTAGGATTTAATCAAATTGGTAAGCGTGACTTACATCACTTTGGGCTTACCTCCCACATAGAGCCGGTCCCGTGAAGACCTGGGTAGAATAGGTCTTCAGCAACCCATGCTTGCCGTAAAAGGCGACTATGCTTGTCGTAAGAGGAGAATAACGGGACCGGGTGGTCAGGCTCTCTGACTTGTTTGATGCATGTCATCATATCCCAATTGCATGGATCGATGTTCATGATGTCAATCACTGGATTGTCTAGTCCAGACTCAATTATTTGCAGACCGCCGTCATATAGCTGGAATGTTGCTGAGTGCAGCGTTAAACAACAAAGAAACAAAGCTGGCACACTCTACTATAACTGAAACACAGTCCAAAATGGCATTAAACCAAACTCAACCACCCAATCACTCAATCTCTAAGCTTAAGTCAACGTATCTCCTGCTAGGATATCTTTTCAGAAATCACTTAACATCAAATAAATGTCATTGTTTCAGGGGGATGGCAATATCAGGTACTTTGAGATCACAGACGACTCGTCGTACTTTCATTACTTGAGCGAATACATGTCCTCGTCACCGCAGAAAGGAATTGGTAAGTTATAGAAGGAGGACAACTGGTCTTGTTTGATCATGGTAGTACACTCCTAGTCTGGACCCCGTTATCCGGAAGAGGACCGCCTCCGTGGTCTAGAGGTAGAGCGTCCGCCCGGAGAGCGGAAGGTCTGGGGTTCGATCCCAGACCGCGTCATACCAAAAGACGTTAAAAGATGGTACCTGTTGTTACCCTGTCTGGCGCTCGGCATTAAGGGGCTAAAACAAGGACTGGTCGGCTCGGAGTCAGTATACCAAGTCTGAGTGGGGTATTCATGTTAAACTGCGGCATGGTATCTCAGTGAGCTAGCACTATAAATCGGCATCAGTCCGGACTAGTACAAGCAGCCACACAAACACACACACACGTACATGCACGTCGCTATATAAGTGCAATAATCTTGGACGCGACGTTAAACCCCATTTCACCTCACACCTCACCTTATCTGGAAGACACACAATCTTCCATAAATATAAACAACATTACAATGCTTTATCTAATTTGTGGGGGGCACGGGTTGCCCAGTCGTCTAAGGTGCTGTGCAGAGTTGTGTCCCTTGGGCATGCCAGAAACCTATGATTGTGGGTTCGCCCTGATTATGTTTCTAGGTTTGTCAGCACCATACCTGTGCTCGAGGGTTTCACCCATGCTCCGGAGTGATGCAGGTCTCAGACGTTTACCACTTCGGGCTTTCCTCTCACATTAAGCTGACACGCCACGATATAACTGGAATACTGTTAAAAGCGGTGTTAAACCCAACTCACTCACTCACTATCTAATTTGTGTGGTTAATCTGATACTGTTCATATTAACAGGATTTCAGTGGTGTAGCCCATGAAGATCCGGGGTAGAATAGGTCTTCAGCAATCCATGCTTGTCGTAATAGGCAACCTGCGGGATCAGGTGGTCAGGCTCGCTGACTTGGTTGATGCATGTCATCTTATCCCATTTGTGCAGATTGATTGATGCTTATGATGTCAATCACTGGATTGTCTGGTCCAGATTTGATAATTTACTGACTGCCGTCATATAGCTGGAATAGTGCTGAGTGCAGCATTAAACAACAAACAAATATACAAGGGCAGATAACTCTAAATTACTCTACATGCAGTACAAATCCATCCTAGAATGCTCCACTCGCTGCCGTTGACTGCAGTTCAAATCCTGGCAAGGCAGCACTTGCTATTGCCAATGGCAATTACTGCAAATAAATTTACAACAGTTTCTTCTGCAATAGAACAGTTTTCACCAAAAAAAAAATCAAAATTGAAGCCAGTGTGTGTGTTGTGCAGGTCGGATGCCCAAGGTGGGGTGTGACGTCACAAAGTGTGAGATACAGAGGTTCTACAAGATCCACGCTGCCAAGAACTTGCTGGAACCCGTGTCCATGATTGTTCCCAGAAAGGTCAGAGCCATGTAGTACCAGGCTAACATTATAATTTTGTTCCCAAAATTAAGTTTTCTATAAGGTGAAATGAAAACAATTTTTCAAGGCAACCCACAAGTATTATAGGAACCCTCAAGTCTTTTGATTTCAGGCCTAGAGCTGAAAAGGGAATAAATGCAGGCTGCTAGAGCTGACAATGGGATGATTGTTTTATTAAATATATCATCCAGGGTCTGTAAGAGAGACAATTTTCAGTGTTCCTACTGGCTTTAGAACTCTAAATATTACCAGTCCCCCCTTATTACCAGTCCCCCCAAACCCACAACCCCCAAACCCACAGCCCCCAAACCCACAACCCCCCAAACCCACAACCACCCCTAAACCACCACACCCCCATACCCCCCACCCCAAACCCACTACCGTCCCAACAACTACCCACACCCCCAAACCCAGAGACACCCCCTTAACCACACCCCACCTCAAACCCACTACCGCCCTAACAACTACCCACACCCCCAAACCAAAAACCACCCAAACCCACAACCACCACACCTCAAACCCACAACCACCCCACAACCACCCCCCACCTCAAACCCACTAACGCCCCAACAACTACCCACACCCCCAAACCCACAACCACCACACCCACAACCACTACACCCACAACCACCACACCCTAAATTTACAACTACCCCTAAACCACCCCTTAACTACCACACCCCCAAACTTACAACCACCCCTAAACCACCACACCCCCAAACCCACAGTATTGCCCAAAATCCCCACACCCTAAACCCAAAACCACTCTCACAACCACCCCCACCCCCAACCCCACAACCACCTCACCCCCACCCCAGCCCCTTAGACATCTATGGTTGTCAATTTCTAGATTGATGTTTCATGTTTTCAGTCAGAGCAGTTCCAGGAAGACATCTTCCCCCCGACTGCCAGCACCATTCCCTCGCTGTCCGCAGACGAGTGGGTCAGCGGTCAGAACAGAGAGCCGATACTGGTGTCCCTCCAGGTAACCCTAGCTCAACTGGCCGTCGGCCTCGTAGTTGCTGTTTCGCAGTAGTCTCACTCCGCCGTCCACTGCTGAGAATAACGGGAGGGAGCTGTTAAAGACGCCACACTTTCTTTGACTCATTTTTGCCACGCTGTTTTCTTAATGCGACAGTAGTATTGCACCTAAACTATTTGCTTGCCAGAATAGTGAAAACACACATATTACTCAACATTTGCTAAGGACCATACACACCTTTGACTAAAGATGACTATTTTGGTCCTTAGCAAATGTTGAGTAGTATATATTTCCCCTATCGCCTAGTGGGCTAGTGACAAAATATTCCCTGTGATATATCTGACAAAATACATATATATGCAAGAAACTGTTTCTTCAAATGTCTGAAAAAGAAAGAAATGTAAATATTTTGTCTTTCTCCCTGATTCGCTATGTGAAATTGTCATTGTTTATCCTCCAGGTACAAGTTTATCTGTTCCAGTTACTAAAACATCTTCCTGAATATGTCTTTCCTTTGAAAATATGAACATTTATATTTGAAACTTATTAAAGATTTTATCAGCTTTGCAGAAATTGTGTACTGAATTGTATGGTGGCAATTATTAAGATTTAGAAATTTGGGATGATGAACAGAGTTAATTATGACTTTGCTGATGCAGACAGTAGTTACCTCCCTTTCAAGAGACAGTAGTTACCTCCCTTTCACGATACAGTAGTTACCTCCCTTTCAATTTGTGCAGACAATACTTACCCCCCTTTCCGGTGGTGCAGACAGTAGTTACCTCCCTTTATTCTCAATAGTTGTTTCTTGTGACTTGTATTTGTATCCTAAGAAGTGGCATTGTCAATGCTTCAAGTCAGTAGAAGTCATACGTAGACAGGATTTCTATTTGTAAGTATAGGTAGGTTAACGCAGACTGCAATGCTATGTATTGTTTCAGTGTAATGTGTTCACATACGTATAAGTTGATTACAGTAAATTCACTTTTAAATAATCTTCTTTCTTTTTAAGATGAATTATTTTTGGTACAATTTTGTTGTTTCATTCGTTCAGTGCTATTCTGTGTATCCCTCACCAGATTCAGTGACAGTAATACTCCATACTGTGAAAATGTTTTCTGCTGATTTTGTTTATGAATTTTTGACATTTTGGAAGAAATTCTCCTCTTTCTCCTCCTTATTTTGTCCCTTCCTCTTGCGATGTGCATGAAAGTAACAGTAAATAGGCGAGGTACACTGGTGTCGTAGACATTTATGTCTGAAACATTAACTGTTATATTATTATGTCCAAAAATGAGAATTACAAAGCAAGAAACATACCCATTACAATTCCAGGGTAGAATAGGTCCCCAGTACCCCATGCTTGTCCCCAAATTAGAATTCCAGCATAGAATAGGTTCCCAGACGTCCATGCTTGTCTCTCATGAGATTTCCAGGGTAGAATAGGTCCCCAGTACGCCATGCTTGTCTCTCATGAGTATTCCAGGGTAAAATAGGTCCCCAGTACCCAATGCTTGTCTCTCATGAGTATTCCAGCATAGAATAGGTCCCCAGTACCCCATGCTTGTCTCTCATGAGTATTCCAGGGTAGAATAGGTCCCCAGTACCCCATGCTTGTCTCTCATGAGTATTCCAGCATAGAATAGGTCCCCAGTACCCCATGCTTGTCTCTCATGAGTATTCCAGCATAGAATAGGTTCCCAGTACCCCATGCTTGTCTCTCATGAGTATTCCAGCATAGAATAGGTCCCCAGTACCCCATGCTTGTCTCTCATGAGGATTCCAGGGTGGAATAGGTCCCCAGTACCCCATGCTTGTCTCTCATGAGGATTCCAGGGTAGAATAGGTCCCCAGTACCCCATGCTTGTCTCTCATGAGAATTCCAGGGTAAAATAGGTCCCCAGTACCCCCTGCTTGTCTCTCATGAGTATTCCAGCATAGAATAGGTCCCCAGTACCCCATGCTTGTCTCTCATGAGTATTCCAGGGTAGAATAGGTCCCCAGTACCCCATGCTTGTCTCTCATGAGTATTCCAGCATAGAATAGGTCCCCAGTACCCCATGCTTGTCTCTCATGAGTATTCCAGGGTAGAATAGGTCCCCAGTACCCCATGCTTGTCTCTCATGAGTATTCCAGCATAGAATAGGTCCCCAGTACCCCATGCTTGTCTCTCATGAGTATTCCAGCATAGAATAGTTCCCCAGTACCCCATGCTTGTCTCTCATGAGTATTCCAGCATAGAATAGTTCCCCAGTACCCCATGCTTGTCTCTCATGAGTATTCCAGCATAGAATAGGTCCCCAGTACCCCATGCTTGTCTCTCATGAGTATTCCAGGGTAGAATAGGTCCCCAGTACCCCATGCTTGTCTCTCATGAGAATTCCAGGGTAGAATAGGTCCCCATTACCCCATGCATGTCTCTCATGAGTATTCCAGGGTAGAATAATTCCCCAGTACCCCATGCTTGTCTCTCATGAGAATTCCAGGGTAGAATAGGTCCCCAGTACCCCATGCTTGTCTCTCATGAGAATTCCAGGGTAAAATAGGTCCCCAGTACCCCCTGCTTGTCTCTCATGAGTATTCCAGCATAGAATAGGTCCCCAGTACCCCATGCTTGTCTCTCATGAGTATTCCAGGGTAGAATAGGTCCCCAGTACCCCATGCTTGTCTCTCATGAGTATTCCAGCATAGAATAGGTCCCCAGTACCCCATGCTTGTCTCTCATGAGTATTCCAGGGTAGAATAGGTCCCCAGTACCCCATGCTTGTCTCTCATGAGTATTCCAGCATAGAATAGGTCCCCAGTACCCCATGCTTGTCTCTCATGAGTATTCCAGCATAGAATAGTTTCCCAGTACCCCATGCTTGTCTCTCATGAGTATTCCAGCATAGAATAGTTCCCCAGTACCCCATGCTTGTCTCTCATGAGTATTCCAGCATAGAATAGGTCCCCAGTACCCCATGCTTGTCTCTCATGAGTATTCCAGGGTAGAATAGGTCCCCAGTACCCCATGCTTGTCTCTCATGAGAATTCCAGGGTAGAATAGGTCCCCATTACCCCATGCATGTCTCTCATGAGTATTCCAGCATAGAATAGTTCCCCAGTACCCCATGCTTGTCTCTCATGAGAATTCCAGGGTAGAATAGGTCCCCAGTACCCCATGCTTGTCTCTCATGAGAATTCCAGGGTAGAATAGGTCCCCAGTACCCCATGCTTGTCTCTCATGAGTACTCCAGACTAAAATAGGACCCCAGTACCCCATGCTTGTCTCTCATGAATATTCCAGGGTAGAAAAGGTCCCCAGTACCCCATGCTTGTCTCTCATGAGAATTCCAGGGTAGAATAGGTCCCCAGTACCCCATGCTTGTCTCTCATGAGAATTCCAGGGTAGAATAGGTCCCCAGTACCCCATGCTTGTCTCTCATGAGTACTCCAGACTAAAATAGGACCCCAGTACCCCATGCTTGTCTCTCATGAATATTCCAGGGTAGAATAGGTCCCCAGGACCCCATGCTTGTCCCCAAATTAGAATTACAGCATAGAATAGGTTCCCAGACGTCCATGCTTGTCTCTCATGAGAATTCCAGGGTAGAATATGTCCCCAGTACCCAGTGCTTGTCTCTCATGAGTACTCCAGACTAAAATAGGTCCCCAGTACCCCATGCTTGTCTTTCATGAGAATTCCAGGGTGGAATAGGTCCCCAGTACCCCATGCTTGTCTTTCATGAGAATTCCAGGGTAGAATAGGTCCCCAGTACCCCATGCTTGTCTCTCATGAGAATTCCAGGGTAGAATAGGTCCCCAGTACCCCATGCTTGTCTCTCATGAGTATTCCAGCATAGAATAGGTCCCAAGTACCCCATGCTTGTCTCTCATGAGTACTCCAGACTAAAATAGGACCCCAGTACCCCATGCTTGTCTCTCATGAATATTCCAGGGTAGAAAAGGTCCCCAGTACCCCATGCTTGTCTCTCATGAGTATTCCGGGGTAGAATAGGTCCCCAGTACCCCATGCTTGTCTCTCACGAGTATTCCAGGGTAGAATAGGTCCCCAGTAGCCCATAGTTGTCTCTCATGAGGTTTCCAGGGTAGAATAGGTCCCCAGGACCCCATGCTTGTCCCCAAATTAGAATTACAGCATAGAATAGGTTCCCAGACGTCCATGCTTGTCTCTCATGAGAGTTCCAGGGTAGAATAGGTCCCCAGTACCCAGTGCTTGTCTCTCATGAGAATTCCAGGGTAGAATAGGTCCCCAGTACCCCATGCTTGTCTCTCATGAGAATTCCAGGGTAGAATAGGTCCCCAGTACCCCATGCTTGTCTCTCATGAGAATTCCAGGGTAGAATAGGTCCCCAGTACCCCATGCTTGTCTCTCATGAGTATTCCAGGGTAGAATAGGTCCCCAGTACCCCATGCTTGTCTCTCATGAGAATTCCAGGGTAGAATAGGTCCCCAGTACCCCATGCTTGTCTCTCGTGAGAATTCCAGGGTAGAATAGGTCCCCAGTACCCCATGCTTGTCTCTCATGAGAATTCCAGGGTAGAATAGGTCCCCAGTACCCCATGCTTGTCTCTCATGAGAATTCCAGGGTAGAATAGGTCCCCAGTACCCCATGCTTGTCTCTCATGAGTATTCCAGGGTAGAATAGGTCCCCAGTACCCCATGCTTGTCTCTCATGAGAATTCCAGGGTGGAATAGGTCCCCAGTACCCCATGCTTGTCTCTCGTGAGAATTCCAGGGTGGAATAGGTCCCCAGTACCCCATGCTTGTCTCTCGTGAGAATTCCAGAGTAGAATAGGTCCCCAGTACCCCATGCTTGTCTCTCGTGAGTATTCCAGGGTAGAATAGGTCCCCAGTACCCCATGCTTGTCTCTCATGAAAATTCCAGGGTAGAATAAGTCCCCAGTACCCCATGCTTGTCTCTCATGAGAATTCCAGGGTAGAATAGGTCCCCAGTACCCCATGCTTGTCTCTCATGAGTATTCCAGGGTAGAATAGGTCCCCAGTACCCCATGCTTGTCTCTCATGAGAATTCCAGGGTGGAATAGGTCCCCAGTACCCCATGCTTGTCTCTCGTGAGAATTCCAGGGTGGAATAGGTCCCCAGTACCCCATGCTTGTCTCTCGTGAGAATTCCAGGGTAGAATAGGTCCCCAGTACCCCATGCTTGTCTCTCATGAGAATTCCAGGGTAGAATAGGTCCCCAGTACCCCATGCTTGTCTCTCATGAGTATTCCAGCATAGAATAGGTCCCAAGTACCCCATGCTTGTCTCTCATGAGTACTCCAGACTAAAATAGGACCCCAGTACCCCATGCTTGTCTCTCATGAATATTCCAGGGTAGAAAAGGTCCCCAGTACCCCATGCTTGTCTCTCATGAGTATTCCGGGGTAGAATAGGTCCCCAGTACCCCATGCTTGTCTCTCACGAGTATTCCAGGGTAGAATAGGTCCCCAGTAGCCCATAGTTGTCTCTCATGAGGTTTCCAGGGTAGAATAGGTCCCCAGGACCCCATGCTTGTCCCCAAATTAGAATTACAGCATAGAATAGGTTCCCAGACGTCCATGCTTGTCTCTCATGAGAGTTCCAGGGTAGAATAGGTCCCCAGTACCCAGTGCTTGTCTCTCATGAGTACTCCAGACTAAAATAGGTCCCCAGTACCCCATGCTTGTCTTTCATGAGAATTCCAGGGTGGAATAGGTCCCCAGTACCCCATGCTTGTCTCTCATGAGAATTCCAGGGTAGAATAGGTCCCCAGTACCCCATGCTTGTCTCTCATGAGAATTCCAGGGTAGAATAGGTCCCCAGTACCCCATGCTTGTCTCTCATGAGAATTCCAGGGTAGAATAGGTCCCCAGTACCCCATGCTTGTCTCTCATGAGAATTCCAGGGTAGAATAGGTCCCCAGTACCCCATGCTTGTCTCTCATGAGAATTCCAGGGTAGAATAGGTCCCCAGTACCCCATGCTTGTCTCTCATGAGAATTCCAGGGTAGAATAGGTCCCCAGTACCCCATGCTTGTCTCTCATGAGAATTCCAGGGTAGAATAGGTCCCCAGTACCCCATGCTTGTCTCTCATGAGAATTCCAGGGTAGAATAGGTCCCCAGTACCCCATGCTTGTCTCTCATGAGAATTCATGGGGTAGAATAGGTCCCCAGTACCCCATGCTTGTCTCTCATGAGTATTCCAGGGTAGAATAGGTCCCCAGTACCCCATGCTTGTCTCTCATGAGAATTCCAGGGTAGAATAGGTCCCCAGTACCCCATGCTTGTCTCTCATGAGAATTCCAGGGTAGAATAGGTCCCCAGTACCCCATGCTTGTCTCTCGTGAGAATTCCAGGGTAGAATAGGTCCCCAGTACCCCATGCTTGTCTCTCGTGAGTATTCCAGGGTAGAATAGGTCCCCAGTACCCCATGCTTGTCTCTCATGAGAATTCCAGGGTAGAATAGGTCCCCAGTACCCCATGCTTGTCTCTCATGAGAATTCCAGGGTAGAATAGGTCCCCAGTACCCCATGCTTGTCTCTCATGAGAATTCCAGGGTAGAATAGGTCCCCAGTACCCCATGCTTGTCTCTCATGAGTATTCCAGGGTAGAATAGGTCCCCAGTACCCCATGCTTGTCTCTCATGAGAATTCCAGGGTAGAATAGGTCCCCAGTACCCCATGCTTGTCTCTCGTGAGAATTCCAGGGTAGAATAGGTCCCCAGTACCCCATGCTTGTCTCTCATGAGAATTCCAGGGTAGAATAGGTCCCCAGTACCCCATGCTTGTCTCTCATGAGAATTCCAGGGTAGAATAGGTCCCCAGTACCCCATGCTTGTCTCTCATGAGTATTCCAGGGTAGAATAGGTCCCCAGTACCCCATGCTTGTCTCTCATGAGAATTCCAGGGTGGAATAGGTCCCCAGTACCCCATGCTTGTCTCTCGTGAGAATTCCAGGGTGGAATAGGTCCCCAGTACCCCATGCTTGACTCTCGTGAGAATTCCAGAGTAGAATAGGTCCCCAGTACCCCATGCTTGTCTCTCGTGAGTATTCCAGGGTAGAATAGGTCCCCAGTACCCCATGCTTGTCTCTCATGAAAATTCCAGGGTAGAATAGGTCCCCAGTACCCCATGCTTGTCTCTCATGAGAATTCCAGGGTAGAATAGGTCCCCAGTACCCCATGCTTGTCTCTCATGAGTATTCCAGGGTAGAATAGGTCCCCAGTACCCCATGCTTGTCTCTCATGAGAATTCCAGGGTGGAATAGGTCCCCAGTACCCCATGCTTGTCTCTCGTGAGAATTCCAGGGTGGAATAGGTCCCCAGTACCCCATGCTTGTCTCTCGTGAGAATTCCAGGGTAGAATAGGTCCCCAGTACCCCATGCTTGTCTCTCGTGAGAATTCCAGGGTAGAATAGGTCCCCAGTACCCCATGCTTGTCTCTCATGAGTATTCCAGCATAGAATAGGTCCCCAGTACCCCATGCTTGTCTCTCGTGAGAATTCCAGGGTAGAATAGGTCCCCAGTACCCCATGCTTGTCTCTCGTGAGAATTCCAGGGTAGAATAGGTCCCCAGTACCCCATGCTTGTCTCTCATGAGAATTCCAGGGTAGAATAGGTCCCCAGTACCCCATGCTTGTCTCTCGTGAGAATTCCAGGGTAGAATAGGTCCCCAGTACCCCATGCTTGTCTCTCATGAGTATTCCAGGGTAGAATAGGTCCCCAGTACCCCATGCTTGTCTCTCATGAGAATTCCAGGGTAGAATAGGTCCCCAGTACCCCATGCTTGTCTCTCATGAGAATTCCAGGGTGGAATAGGTCCCCAGTACCCCATGCTTGTCTCTCATGAGTATTCCAGGGTAGAATAGGTCCCCAGTACCCCATGCTTGTCTCTCGTGAGAATTCCAGGGTAGAATAGGTCCCCATTACCCCATGCTTGTCTCTCGTGAGAATTCCAGGGTAGAATAGGTCCCCAGTACCCCATGCTTGTCACTCATGAGAATTCCAGGGTAGAATAGGTCCCCAGTACCCCATGCTTGTCTCTCGTGAGAATTCCAGGGTAGAATAGGTCCCCAGTACCCCATGCTTGTCTCTCATGAGTATTCCAGGGTAGAATAGGTCCCCAGTACCCCATGCTTGTCTCTCATGAGAATTCCAGGGTAGAATAGGTCCCCAGTACCCCATGCTTGTCTCTCATGAGAATTCCAGGGTGGAATAGGTCCCCAGTACAAGAAACACTCACTTTCGTGTTAGCCTAGCAGATACTGCATTCTCTCATTTTAAATCAGACCTCGTTCTATTCCTCCAATGGTCAATATTGATTAATGTGGTATAAAGCTTAAAGTCTGTCTCAGTGCTGAGGTTCAAATCAAGGAGCGCATGTAGGTTATGCATGAATAATTCCGTTACTTGTCTCACAGACAAAACAATGTTATGATGTTATTAACTTAGTGTTATTTTTTTAATTTTTAATTTTGTGACTTTTATCAGCATTTTATTATTTTCAATCAACTTTTTAAATAAATATTTTCTAATTAGAAAAAACAGTTGACATACTGCTTGCATGTCAGCATGTTAAGTTTAGTTTAGTTAGTTTCTGTAATTCCATGCTTGCCAAGTATCGACCAAACAGTGCATGGTCTTAGTTCCATTAATGTGATGCTAGTTTCCCGTAGACTGTTTTATTTTGTGTTTGAGTTCTAGTTTTGAGATTTGCTGTGCAGTGTTTGTTTAACATGGTGAGGGATTTAGAGCTTTGTTTCAGTGTTTCATTTCATTGCTGTGTTTTTCATTGCCATGTTTCATTGTTTCAGCTACGTGTGAGACTTTGTGGAGTGAATCACTTTCGTTCACAACATTCTTTTTTCGTTGACAAGGCATATCATGGTCATAGATCAGACCCTCGTTCTACAGCGTTGCCTTGGCACTAAGATGGTCATACTCCCCAAGGGTGGGACAGTCGTCTTAGGCATCGCTATTTGCTGTGAAGAGTTGCATCCCTTTGGCATGCCAGAAATCTTGAACATGGGTTCAAATCCCAGTTTGCCCCGATTATGTTTCTAGGTTTGTCAGCACCATACCCGTGCTCGTGGGTTTCACTGAAGTGGTAAACGTCTGAGTCCTGAATCACTTCGAGTTCCAACATTAAGCTGACACGCCGTGATATAACTGGAATAATGTTCAAGGCAGTGCAAAACCAAACTCACTCACTAATAAAGGATGATTACAACTTTGTATGGAAAACATTGGGGTTTAATCCATCAGAGGGTTATCTGAATAGCAAGATGTGGACTACCAAGGTGTGTTCAGTTAGTCTTACCCAAGCCAATCATTAAAGGGGCATTGGGGTGGCCTGGTGGTTAAAGCGTTTGCTTTTCATGCCAATGACCGGGTTCGATTCCCGACATGGGTACAATGTGTGAAGCCCATTTCTGGTGTCCCCCACTGTGATATTGCTAGATTATTGCTAAAAGTGGCATAAAACTATACTCACTCACTCACCCATTCATAAAGAAACAATAAACTAAAGTATGACCATCTATATGCTTTGTCAACTGAGTTTTGCATGTGTGTCTTTTTGTCTGTCTCGCTCTCTCTCTCTCTCTCTCTCCGTCTCTCTGTCTGCGCGTCTCACTCTATTTGTTTGGTTCATCAGGACGGCACAGTTACAAATACACCCAAAGTGTCGACGTCTAGGCCCGTACAACGACAGGTAACTTTCTTATCCTCGTCAAGGGCAGGGTAGCACACTTACTCATCCATGTTTGGGGCCGAGAATGATGTTTATATCGGGACAAAGTCCAGCTATTCTAGAAATTATCTCGTATGAAATATGCTTATTGTGCATGTGTAGAAGTATATGTCAGTGTGAATCAAATTTTGTTGACCCTTACGGTGTGAGTTTAAATATGATAGTAGTGCACTATTATCTGAAATCTAAATTCTTTTTGTTCTTTTGCTGACTCAGCAAACAGTATTTGATGCATACACAAAACACATGGTCAGTATTTCACACGTTTGCACACAGTATGGGTAGGTTCCTCTATCCCCTATGAATACACAGGGCCAATATGAGGGGTGGTAGTGACGTGTTGATTATACCCCCAACCTAAAAGCTCAGTTGTGCATAGTTATACCAAGGAATTCCATCCGTCCTTCCAAAGACGTTATTTTGTGTGACCTCTGAATTGAAAACTACTCTGTCGATTCTTTTCAAATTTAGGGAACAGTTTCCATACTAATAGAAGAGGTGCAGTGCAAAGTTTGATTTCGATAAGTCTATTTTCTGAAAAAATATGATGTTTTTTATGTTGTAAACTTTTTTGGTTACTTTTACATTTGTGTGACCTATAATTTAAAAACTACTGCATGGATTCTGTTCAATTGGGGGTACAGTTTCTATACCAGTAGGAGAGGTGATGTGTAAAGTTTGATTTCGATAAGTGGATTTTTTAAGATTTGTTTTTAGTTTTTTTTCATGTTTTTAATTTAAAAATCTGTTGGAAGTCAAAGTCAGGGGTGTTAGTGAGTCCTGCTCACTTTTTGTCTTGTTTGTAGCCTAGTGCTGTATTCCTCCGAAGTCTAATGAGCCGTGCAAATGTAAACTGCTCAACGTTTGATAAGGATATTGAAACCTGTTGCCATACATATTGGGATGTTTATTATCTCCCGCCGCGCGAAAGCGCGAAGCGGGGGATATAGTATTCACGTCCGTACGTCCATACGTCCCACCTGTTTGTTGCCGCGATATCTCAAGAACTAAACACTGGATTGTCTTCATATTTGGAACTATGGTGTATATACAGACTCCGCAGACACCAGTCGGTTTTGGTGACCTTGACCCCATTTTCAAGGTCACAGCAGGCATATCTGCTTTTGGAGTTGGAAAACGGTGTTGCCGCGATATCTCAAGAACTAAACACTGGATTGTCTTCATATTTGGAACTATGGTGTATATACAGACTCCGCAGACACCAGTCGGTTTTGGTGACCTTGATCCCATTTTCAAGGTCACAGCAGACAAATCTGCTTTTAGAGTTGGAAAACGGTGTTGCCGCGATATCTCAAGAACTAAACACTGGATTGTCTTCATATTTGGAACTATGGTGTATATACAGACACCGCAGACACCAGTCGGTTTTGGTGACCTTGATCCCATTTTCAATGTCACAGCAGACAAATCTGCTTTTAGAGTTGGAAAACGGTGTTGCCGCGATATCTCAAGAACTAAACACTGGATTGTCTTCATATTTGGAACTATGGTGTATATACAGACTCCGCAGACACCAGTCGGTTTTGGTGACCTTGATCCCATTTTAAAGGTCACAGCAGGAAAATCTGCTTTTGGAGTTGGAAAACGGTGTTGCCGCGATATCTCAAGAACTAAACACTGGATTGTCTTCATATTTGGAACTATGGTGTATATACAGACACCGCAGACACCAGTCGGTTTTGGTGACCTTGACCCCATTGTCAAGGTCACAGCAGGCAAATCTGCTTTTGGAGTTAGAAAACGGTGTTGCCACAATATCTCAAGAACTAATCGCTGGATTGTCTTCATATTTGGTAGTATGGTGTACAGGCGGGGGATATTTCGTCACTCTGTGACAAATACTTGTTTTAGGTTGAGTTTAACTTGGCATTAAGTTGAAAACTCAGCAATCCCATTGCAGTATCAAATACTATTCACATGACGTTCCAAGCAGTTACTCTCAGTCTGCAACTGGACACTCAGAATATCCTTATCAAAAGTTGGATAGTATGTTTTGCAAGCCCTACCATTGTCTGATCATGAAGCAGTGTGCCGTGTAGATGACTGCAAGACTAGGACTCATGCTGCAGGGGAAATATTGCGATATGTGCTATGTGATGATTGGATACCAGACTGGAACTAGGCTATAACCATATATAACAATATATAACCACGCTGCAACAATGTATAACCAGGCTATAACCATATATAACAATATGTGACCAGGCTGCAACAATGTATAACCAGGCTATAACCATATATAACAATATGTGACCAGGCTATAACAATGTATAACCATATATAACCAGGCTGCAACAATGTATAACCAGGCTATAACCATATATAACAATATGTGACCAGGCTATAACAATGTATAACAATATGTGACCAGGCTATAACCATATATAACAATGTAAAACCAGGCTATAACCATATATAACAATATGTGACCAGGCTATAACCATATAAAACAATGTAAAACCAGGCTATAACAATATGTGACCAGGCTATAACCATATATAACAATGTAAAACCAGGCTATAACCATATATAACAATATGTGACCAGGCTATAACCATATATAACAATGTAAAACCAGGCTATAACCATATATAACAATATGTGACCAGGCTATAACCATATATAACAATGTATAACCAGGCTATAACCATATATAACAATATGTGACCAGGCTATAACAATGTATAACCATATATAACAATATATAACCAGGCGGCAACAATGTATAACCATATATAACAATATATGACCAGGCTATAACAATGTATAACAATATGTGACCAGGCTTTAACCATATATAACAATATGTGACCAGGCTATAACCATATATAACAATGTAAAACCAGGCTATAACCAAATGCTTAGTCAGCACTCAAAAAACTCTTCCATATGTTTGGGTTTTTTAAATATCTTTATTTTTAAAACTTTTACAAATTCAAAAAGAACATTTGCATAGTACGCAACTGCTAATGGGTATCTTAGAATCTTGTCATTGAAAATCAATAAACTTTTGGCACAAGTTTACAACATTCGTTTCATACCCAGTCTTCATTGAACTCGTGTATTTTAACACAAATTACCCACAGGTTGCACTCTGTTGCAGGAATGAGTGATGGTACAGTAGACATAATATAATTGAACAACAATTCTTTCAATTTTCAATTATATAAAAAGAAACTCGGTATACTTTCTTCTGCCCCTCAGTTTATGACCAGGCCAAGTTCTATCCGACCTTAGTTCGTTACTTGACTGAGGGGGCACGGGTGGCCAAGTCGTCTAAGGCGCCGCTATTCGCTGTGCAGAGTTGCGTACCTTGGGCACGCCAGAAACCTATGATTATGGGTTCGAATCCCTGTTCGGCTGATTATGTTTCTAGGTTTGTCAGCACCATACCTTTTGTTTTCACCGAAGTGGTAAATGTCGGAGACCTGCATCGCTTCAGCTTTCCTTCGACATTAAGCTGACACGCCATGATATAACTGGAATACTGTTAAAAGCGGCGTTAAACCCAATTCACTCACTCACTCACTCATTACTTGACTGAACAAACACACGTCACTACCACACCTCATGTTGGCCCTGTGTATGGAACCAGTCTGTGGTTAAAAATAGCAACTTCACTGCAAATGAGCTGTATTTGTTCACACTGAATGATGACCATGGTGTATACAAACCTGTGAAGTATTGATGATGACAGTAACCAACCAATTAACATTATCGTGGGACGAGATATCTTGGACACTTTATTTGTGTGCATGGATAGTTTTTTGTCAGCAGGGGTCACAGGTAGCCCACTGGTCTAAAGTGGTCTATGCAGAGTTGTTTGGTATATTTTAATATTCCAATATTTGGTATATTTTGATAACCCAATGTTTGGTATTTTTGGCTATTCCAATATTTGGTATATTTTAATAATCCAATGTTTGGTATTCCAATATTTGGTATATTTCAATAACCCAATGTTTGGTATGTTTGGGTATTCCAATATTTGGTATATTTTAATAACCCAATGTTTGGGTATTCCAATGTTTGGTATATTTTAATAACCCAATGTTTGGTATGTTTGGGTATTCCAATGTTTGGTATATTTTAATAATGCAATGTTTGATATGTTTGGGTATTCTAATGTTTGGTATGTTTGGAAATTCTAATGTTTGGTATGTTTGGGTATGTCAGTGTTGCTGGTGTTTGTTGTTATCCCGCTTTCAACTCATTCACTGACCGTCTCCATGTTAATCTCACCATACCTGCACCTGTACCTTCAACACACAACACCCACATGTAACAGAGTATGGAAGTTGGAAGTGTCTTTGTTTTTTCAGCTCCATTAACTGACCTTGATATATCTCATCTTCCCAGGGATAACTCATTACCCTTGTCACAGTTTAATGTCACACATGCAGGGTTAGACGTGGCCACTAGTCCGTAAGTCCAAGACCAGTAAAAATTAAATGGGACTAGTTTTTTTTCCCAAAATCAATTATACGTCCAAAATGAGCTCTGGACTAGTTGGAAATGACCAATGGTGTCTAACCCTGTATAGCTAAATTAGGGGGTAAACATATTCTTTTTTTAATTTTGAAATGGTTCATCATTTATTAAACACCACTAAATATTATAGTGAAAATCTCTCACTAATACATTCAGTTTTAGATGACATTTCGAGGTGTTTGATCAACCAACCAACTCAAAATTTAAAAACAGAATAAGTTTATATCCATTCTACCATGACTAAAATGTTGTTTTTTTAAAACAGACTGCTTTTCTTGTGCACTTATTATGTGCAGAGATGCGTTTAGAAGTGATTATTGCTCATAACATCCTCTTCAAATTTACAGTATTCGATGTAATAAGCGCCCCGCTCTAATAAGCACCCACAGCAATATTTTCTGATATATTGGCAAGTGAACAATCCCAATTAGCACCCCTTCCGATTGATCAATGTACACAAGACTTATTTTATCGCGTATAATACACACTCGTGTGTTATATGCACCTTTAATTATGGGCAATTAAATTCTGGGAAAATATATCTGTCGTACATAAACATTTCCGGCTGTCACCTTAAACCACGAAATTTATCTTTCAACTCACCAAAATAATATTCTAATAAGAGCCCCCTATTTCTAATTTTGAGAGCACCCTGGGCGCTTATTACGTCGAATACAGTAGTAAAATTAAGCAGTTAGATCATCCTTCAAAGTCATGGTAAAATGGACAGTAAACTGTAATGGACATCAATCTGAAATTGTACTTGATCAATCCAAGTTCTTACATTATTCCTCTGAACTATATTCTTTGCCTGGTGGTATCGCAACTTTTCTCTCCTGTATTCTCATCACGACAACATGGATGTTCTGACAACTTCCTTTCAAGTCGCCATTGATCATCTCCGAATCTTCTAACATCTTCTCTCTAGCTGTAGATGTACTAATATCTTTGTCACACACAAACTTCCTTCTGCTAGTGGTGATAGATAATTAGAGAATGACGAATTTAGAGAATGAGGATTTCTGTCCCGATTGAAGGAGCAGAGTCCAGGGCCCACTTGCACAAACCGATCTTAGCGCTAAGATGATCGTACCTCCCATACTTTAACACAGGCTTATGATAGTCTTAGCGCTAAGATGATCGTACCTCCCATACTTTAACACACGCTTACGATAGTCTTAGTGCTAAGATGATCGTACCTCCCATACTTTAACACAGGCTTATTATAGTCTTAGCGCTAAGATGATCGTACCTCCCATACTTTAACACAGGCTTACGATAGTCTTAGCGCTAAGATGATCGTACCTCCCATACTTTAACACAGGCTTACGATAGTCTTAGCGCTAAGATGATCGTACCTCCCATACTTTAACACAGGCTTACGATAGTCTTAGCGCTAAGATGATCGTACCTCCCATACTTTAACACAGGCTTACGATAGTCTTAGCGCTAAGATGATCGTACCTCCCATACTTTAACACAGGCTTACGATAGTCTTAGCGCTAATTGATGGACAATTGATTGTCACAATATGATTATGTTACATACCGTACTTTCTTGAGTATAGTGTGCACTCAAGTATAATGCACATGCCCCTCTTGCGGATTCAGTATTTTTGAAAAAAAGAAAATTGAATATTATGTGCAGAAAATAATTACACTGTACCCTTTCTGCGGTACATGTTATAAGTGCTGTGTCAACATTGGACACTTGATAAATCTTACCTATGTAAACAGGTTGTGACCTGAGGACCAGAAGGTCATAAACTTTCCATATTTGCATTCGGAGTAGGCAGAGAACTTTTTGAAATAACAAAAATTTGTAAACATAGTCTTGAGACCACTCAAATTTTGTAAGCAATTTATACATTTGTTTTTGTAGGTATATTGAAAAAACATTTACTTGACGTCTGCCATTGAACATGTTAAAATACTACTTTCCAACAACATTTTCTCTGCCAGCCCTCTTTTCTGTAGCTGTCGATATTAGGAGTGTAACGATATATAGAACTGTCACACTATCGCAGTTGTTTGCCCTATGATAGTACTATGTCAGTAGGAATTTACAAATACCAATAATATTGTCTATAGTATCCATAGCAATCAGTAGTTTTAATAGTTGCTATTAGTTAAAAATAGTACAGTTTTATCGTAATTTAGAATCTGCCTGTGTGATTGGTTACGGATTACGACAACATCAGATTAGAGTTACTTCCCTTTGGTTTGAGTGGCAACAGGGAGGGAAATGGCTGACTTTGAGATTGTCAGCAATACATTCATTTCTATTACATTGATTATGTGATTATCAAGGCTTGTAGTTGGTTTAGTACTACTCCAATACAATCGCAATAGTGAAATAGCCAAGTAGCACCTCGTAGATATAGGGGCTAATATGGCCATCATCCCCAAAACCCCCTTCTGCAAGAGGGGCGGTGGGGTAGCCTAGTGGTTAAAGCATTCACTCGTCATATCGAAGACCCACATGTGTGAAGCCCATTTCTGGTGTCCCCCGCTGTGATATTGCTGGAATATTGAAATAAGCGGCATAAAACTGTACTCACTCACTCACTCACTCTGCAAATAGTGATGGATACATGTAGTTAGAGAATAACCAATGACCTATGAGGAAGTATGGATTGCACCCTTCAAAATTCACGCTTGTCTGCTAGACCAAGACTACTAAATTGTGCTGAGGTCAAGTAAAAATCCATGATGGTAGTCCTCATTGACGAGTAACATTGAGAACTATGATTCTGAACCAGACCTCTATGCTACAATTTGATTAATTTTACAAATTGGAACTGAATAAAACTGACAGAAAACGTAAACATTGTAAACATTTTTGTCTTTAAGCAGAGCTAGTACATACTCTGAGGACGCGTTAAATAAGGTTTACACTAGTCCACCGGACTACTCTTAAACTGTTTTGACCTTCGTGGTCTAGTGGTAGAGCGGAAGGTCCGGAGTTCGACCCCCGGCCGCTTCATACCAAAAGACGTTAAAAGATGGTACTTGTTGTTACCCTGTCTGGCGCTTGGCATTAAGGGGCTAAAACAAGGACTGGTCGGCTCGGAGTCAGTATACTGTGTATGAGTGGGGTATTCATGTTAAACTGCGGCATGGTATCTCAGTTGCTAGCACTATCAATCGGCATCAGTCCGGACTAGTACAAGCAGCCACAAAAACACACACACACGTACATGCACGTTGCTATATAAGTGCAATAATCTTGTTTCAGTAATCTTGTAGCATGACTATATGCTAGTTACTTGCAAAATACATTCATTAACCCATTTCACCCCTATAAACAATTAGATGGGTATACTAATATTTTTAAAATTATTATAATATGACTATACAAATAACGAGATCAGATGTTATAAGTAGTTGTTGTCAAGTAGTTCCTTTTTTGCAATGTGACAGTCCTACTTGTGTTTCCTGTTTGCCATTTCCCATAATGCAACTCATCAAAGCATGGCCTTCTTACAGCTTTTCGTTCTTCATATGTGCATGAAGCAATATCGTTGTCCATTACCAGAGTTTTGTTGACAATTATTGAATTCAATACATGTTATAAGGCATAGTGGCTGTCAGTTCCCTATCCTGAGTTGTGGCCCTTGGGCAAACAGTATCCTATGATCATGGGTCCAAATACCGGGGGGCGGTCAGGTAGCCTTGTGGTTAAAGCGTTCAATTGTCACACCAAAGACCCGGGTTCGATTCCCGACATGGGTACAACGTGTGAAGCCCATTTCTGGTGTCCCCCGCCGTGATGTTGCTGGAATATTGCTAAAAGCGGCGTAAAACTATAATCACTCACATTCCAAATAACGGCTACCCCCGATTATTATTTTGAAGTTTGCCAGCATTATACTTATACTCAGAACTGGCAAAGACCTGCATCACTTCGGTCTTTCCTCCAAATCAAGCTGACACACTGTGATATTCCTGAAATATTGTTCAAAGCAGTATCAATCCAAATTCACAAAATAAATATGATAACAGCATGAATATACTTAATTATCGTATTCGACTTAATAAGCGCCCAGGGCGCTCTCAAAATTAGAAGTAGGGGGCTCTTATTAGAATATTATTTTGGTGGGAAAAAACAGGTGAAAGATAAATTTCGTGGTTTATGCTGACAGCCTGAAATGTTTATGTACAACATATATATTTAAAGAATTTAATTGCCCATAATTAAAGGTGCATTTAACACAATTGGGATTGTTCACTAGCTGATATATTAGCAAATATGGCCGTTGACGCTTATTAGAGAGGGGCGCTTATTACATCTAATACAGTAGTTAGATTCTTTTTCAGGAAATTAACAAAGATGAAATATTTCAAAATATTTGTGTAGTATTCAATATCAGATGTCTTGTCTGGATAAAATGTTTGGGGATAAACACGTGCGATTGTTCGTACTATCATCCTCGATTATCTAGGGTGATATTGCAGCATTCTGTTCAAAGAAATACCCTGGACCATTCGACAGCATGGCTTCGTTTTGAATCTAAGAAAAGCCACTCAAATTGCTACCACAATCGAGAGAGATTCTGCAGGGTTGCTGATAGCAGAGATGAAGAGAATTCTGGTGTATAGGTTTAGGGAAGTTATGATAACAACGGAATTATGTGTAATCGAGGATGGTGGTGGACATAAATGCTTGTGTTTCAGAAAAGAATGTTAAAATGATTAATAAAAAGTAATTTAAAAATTAAAATGAAGGAATTATTTCGGTTCACTGTGCATTGTCTGTATCATTAGGTTATGTGCTTAACAACCAGGAAGTGCCAGTGTCTTGTAGAGGTTCCGGTTTGTGTTCCAGGACGGCGCCATGCAGGCCAACCCGGTGATAACAACCTACACAGCCGTCACACGCCCAGGAAGCAATCGACCAATCAAACGTGCCAACACAATTGCCTCCTCGACAGTCCCGAATAATGTTCCTGCAGCGGAACCTGCCTCTCTTAAAAACATCAAGCGCCTGAGCATAAATGAGGACATAGTAACAATAGAGTGAGTTCCCCCCGAGTTTGAATTGTCCCATCTTCCTGAGGCAAGGGAGTTAACTGACTTAAAAGTCCAGTTTCCATCCTTGATGAACTGGACTGGAATTCCTGGGCTCGATCGTAGCGCCACCAGTGGCTATTACCAGTTATGTCCCTTGTTAGCCTCTCCTATTGACCAATCAGATTCAACCCCTTGCATCACTTGCATTTGATTGAAACAAAATGGCGGCACCCAGTCAGGACGGTCTGATCGATAATCAAGATCTATATTGTGATAAAACGGGATTAAAAACCTTGATTAAAAACATGAAAAGATTTGGAAAATATCTGCTGACAACGAGTTGGCGGTTCACATGCTTTGCAATTCCTGCAATCGACCGAAATCTGCACGACGGTTTACGAACCGTATGTGTGGGAACTGCACTTTTATAGTCAACTCTCTTGCCTCGGGAAGATGGAATTGTGCCAGCAACCAGCTGGCCGTAAGAGGCAACTAAATGGATGGGGTGCTCAGGCTCAGGCTCAGGCTCAGGCTCATTGTGCCCTTAAGGCTTGGATGTTGCTCACAATATCAATCACTGGATTGTCTGGTCACAACTCGATTATTTACAGGTTGCTGTCTTCTTGTTGTAACTTTGTTGTTGCATCGTTAAACAAGATACAAACAATAGAGTGAGTTGCAGATCCTATTTGACTTGTGACAGGCATTTTTATGATAAACATATCCACAGCTGGAATAGCTTATTCAAGTGAATCTGGAGATCACTAGTGTAAACATACACACGTTCACATTTGGTAAGCAATTATACAAAAGTTAACTTCACTTCAAATCAAAATAAATATCCATCTTAAAAACGTCCTTGAACCATATTATTTCCCCTTCCCCCCACTCCTCATTGTAATGCGACCCGTGAAGATCCGGGGTAGAACAGGTCTTCAGCAACCCATGTTTGACGTAAAAGGTGACTATGCTTGTCGTAAAAGGCGACTAACGGGATCGGGTGGTCAGGCTCGCTGACTTGGTTGATGCATGTCATCGTATCACAATTGCGTGGATCGATGCTCATGATATCAATCACTGGATGCTCATGATATCAATCACTGGATTGTCTGGTCCAGACTCGATTATTTACAGACCGCCATTATATAGCTGGAATATTGCTTAGTGCGACGTTAAACAACAAACCAACCAACCAATCATTGTAATGCTATAGCCTTAAATGAAGCAAGTCTAGATTTCCTCATTCTGAATCTCCCCTCTCACTGGGACTCCTTTTCAGTTTAAATGGAGTTGCTTGTTGCAATTAAAAATATGCATTTTCAGAGACTAAGCATTGACTACTCCGGATCTAGGAGAACGGCACATTTAAAATATCTTTTTTAAATCGTTTTTGTTTTCGTGATACATTTATTTTTCGCCTATGTTATTATCTTTTCTAATTTTTGTTTGCAGGGAAACTTCTCATACTCTAAGTCAGAAACGAGCGATGTTTGAACAAACGACGAATAATAACAACAATAAAAACACACCCCAAACCGGCCCTGCCGATCAGAACTCGCAGTACCAGAAGAAGGTGTGGTCACCGGTGTCACCATCGTCGCCAGCAACTACGACGACGGCCAACGGCTTGCCAGGCACAGACTCAGAGGTGAGAAAAAAAGAGGCCATGAAAAAAATGTGTTCACTGAGCGTTAAAGTAATTTTTATGATTTAAGTTCAACTCATTTCTTCTCGGATTCCATATCATTAATTTAAGTCTGATAAATGGTATTCAGTGTGTGCCTAGATTTGGCTGTTACTAGGCCAATAAGACAAGACTCAGTGTTCCGACAAGTGGCTAAAGTTGTGAATTGGGTATTTTTGATAGGATTTTAGAAAACCAATCTCATTAAAATCAGATCTAAGTTCTCGCTGCCGCTAAACAAAGATCTGAGGACATCCCATTACGGGTCATGTCAGAACGAACTTTCGCGAACTTTGACCGACCACTCAAACGACGAACAAGAAGTCAACATCAGCCAATTAGAAAGCAGCTTTCTCGGGCTTTACGGCACTCGTTTCAACCTTGTGACTTCCATTTCAGACTACGCTTGAAAAATATGTTGACACAGTTCTCGATTAAAATTTTGAACACTGAACAAACGAACATTCCAGAATGTCTAATATATGTTTGCGATTGTATGGCAGTGCTTCCCACGTACTGTGCAACGTCTCCTCCGTTCAAATGTTTATCCCACTGAAGCGAGAGACAGACAATAATTTTGACGGAATAAGTCGTACGGGCCGTAACTGTCATTCGGAATACCCCGTGTTAACGTTTTCGAGGTTGCATGATCTGAAAACACATTCCGACTGTCACTTTCATGATCTGGTAAGCGACGCTTTGATTGGTCCGAAGAAAAGTCGTTCTGACATGACTCATGATGGGATGTCCTCGGATCTTTGTTTAGCGGTAGCGAGAACTAAGATCTGATTTTAATGATATTGTAAAAAAACATACAACTTTATGGATAACAACTTCTGGTTTATTGAGTAAAACAACGTTTTGATGTAGATTCTTACAGAGTTATCAAGCTAGAGTGAGCTCTACGTTGGAATCTCCATCAAAACATTGCTTAATGCAATAAACCTGAAGTTGTTATCCACAAAGTTGTACATTTCCTTATTTACTCACCAACTTCAAGAATGCCAATGAAACAGTTAATAGGATTTGGTGACCGGTAGTTTCTAGAGGGGCCTTTCAGGGACAGCCTGATTTTCAATGCTTGTCGTAAGAGACAACGTACATGGGTTCTGTTTCACAAAGCAGTTGTTGCGCAACGACTAACGTAACTCCCATGATTTAACATAGACTTATGACAGTCGTTGCGCAACGACTAACGTAACTCCCATGATTTAACGTCAACTTAGGACAGTCGTTGCGCTACGACTATCGTCACTCCTACGATTTAACATAGACTTATGACAGTCGTTGTGCTACAACTATCGTAACTCCCAGGATTTAACATAGACTTATGACAGTCGTTGCGCTACGACTAACGCAACTCCCAAGATTTAACATAGACTTATGACAGTCGTTGCGCTACGACTAACGCAACTCCCAAGATTTAACATAGACTTATGACAGTCGTTGCGCTACGACCATCGTAACTCTCATGATTTAACATAGACTTATGACAGTCGTTGCGTTACGACTAACGCATCTCCCAAGATTTAACATAGACTTATGACAGTAGTTGCGTTACGACTAACGCAACTCCCAAGATTTAACATAGACTTATGACAGTAGTTGCGTTACGACTAACGCATCTCCCAAGATTTAACATAGACTTATGACAGTAGTTGCGCTACGACTAACGCAACTCCCATGATTTAACATAGACTTATGACAGTCGTTGCGCTACGACCATCGTAACTCTCATGATTTAACATAGACTTATGACAGTAGTTGCGTTACGACTAACGCATCTCCCAAGATTTAACATAGACTTATGACAGTCGTTGCGTTACGACTAACGCATCTCCCAAGATTTAACATAGACTTATGACAGTAGTTGCGCTACGACTAACGCAACTCCCATGATTTAACATAGACTTATGACAGTCGTTGCGCTACGATTGCTTTGTGAAATGTGGCCCTGTTCTCTGTGTCTCATCGTACCAAGACCAGTCGGAACTCGGGGTTAGTCTTGCAACCTGTGCTTGTTGCTCGAGGTGATTTAATGGTTGGTCAGGCACGGTGATTTGTTAATTGTGTCTCATCTTAACCTGCTGCTCCTAATATCGATCACTGGTTTGTCTGGCCAAGACAAGATTATTTTCAGCAGCTGCAATATTGGTTAGTGCAGCACTAAACAACAAACAGACAGTATGGTTTATCAATGGATTTTCAGCTAATTTTGATGAAGTTCATTGCTCAAATTACCATCTAGTTTTCAAGTATTTGCCAGAAAGTGAGAATTTTCTATATACTTGATGTTGTAAATAACCTGGGTGAATAAAAGCATTCTAGCATGACTTCATTCTATAGAGCAATAGCAAAAGACAGCTTTTATCACAGCCAATCACTGCAGGGTTGCATACAATCTCATGAAAATCGGGTCTTTAGCTCTGATAGGATAAACCGAAACAGAACCCAAATAGTCTGTTGATGGTGCTCTCTTTTGGGTGTAGATGCCATGAAGCTCAGAAATGACACGCTCACCATGCCATGGCTTTTATTATTTCCATTCGAAACTGACCTGCTCAGAAATGACAGGCTGTATAACACATTCTCACTATAATGCCATGGCTTTTATTATTTCCATTCGAAACTGACCGTCTGTATATAAGGGCTGTCAGATGTTCACTTAGAGAGATTTGGTACGGAGGAAAAGATCTGATATTTATGAGACTAAGGTGCATATACAGGCAGACTGTTTATGCATCTTTGATTGGCTGAAGATAATTCATGTTTTCTAAGGTGGCTGACCAATGACTTGTCGTGTTCCCAACAATGGGAAGACGTTGAGTCAGAATATATCAAGCTATTAATGGAATATGGATGATTTGATTTGATTTTGATCTGTTATAGTTTGATTGGAAATCATTAATTTAAATTTGTGCAATATGTAATGGAACGGAAGATACCTTTTCATTTTACTCCTCCTTCAAATTCTCAAGAGTAAATCATTTTGTGCAGTCATTGTGCAGTATTTGGTTATTTAACTATCAACTGATATACATAGTAGATGCTAATACCGAGATAGATTTATGGGAGATGTTATCAAAAGTCACATGACATTTCTCTCCTGCTGTTCATTTACCCTCCCTCTGTTTAACTGTAGTTTTTTACTAGTATGAAATTTCAATTTTTCTTATGGAAGACAGAGTAACTCATGATTGTTTTGAATCATCAAAAAAGATGTATTTCCGATCAAGCTGAATACAGTTTCACTTTTTGGTGTTGTGAATAACAAAATGTGTTTATGATTTAGAAAAATAGATTACTAATTTATTGAAATTACATCCTTGAAATGAACCCTCTTTGTTCTCCTCAGTGAGGATTCAGGGTCCAAAGTATACCCTCTTTGTTGTAAGAGCTGGCTAAAGAGGATTGGGTTTACTCACTTAATGGGGCGGCGGGGTAGCCTTGCGGTAAAAGCGTTCACTCGTCATGCCAATGGCCTGGGTTCGATTCCCGACATAGGAGCAGTGTGTGAAGCCCATTTCTGGTGTCCCCCGCTGTGATTTTGCTGGAATATTGCTAAAAGCGGCATAAAACCATACTCGCGCACACACTCTCGCTTAATGATTTGGCTGATCTTCATCGTACCCTATGGACCTATGCTTCACGCTTTCAATCAGACTTGATTATTTACAGACTGGAATATTGCTGATGGAAGCATTAAACAATATTCATTCACATGATGTTTAATTTTAGCATAGTTACGATCATCTTAGCGCTAAGAACAATTTGTGGAACGGGGCCTTGGTGTTGCCTCATCAGAATAGATCACAACCAGCCCTTTCTCAAAGCCATGATATAACTGGAAAACTGTTTAAAATGGTGGTAAACCCAACTCACTCGCTATCACAAAAGCTGCCCCTAATTGAATCTCACCCGGCTTCCAGGAATCACTGACCCATTATTTCTTCTTCCACATGGCCAGGTGAACATAAGGGTAAGGACGTCACTCGTAGACACACGTCACAAATTTCACTATATGTTTCTCCTTTTAACACGAATGGTTAAGAAACACAATTGATAGGGAAAGGTGAATACTGGGGGGAAATACGGACGTAACTCCCGTTATTACCATTGACTTACAATAGTTTTACCTATAAGACGATGAACATGTCTCTTTTTTTTACAAATGGGAGTTACGATAATCGTATCACTAAGATCACTTTGTTGAACATGTCCCTTGGCCCACCTGCACAAAAGCGATCTTAGTGAACAACTATTGTAAGTCTCTTTTTTTAATAAATGGGAGTTACGATCACCAAGATCTCTTTCTAGGACATGCGTCTGGGCCCACCTGCACAAAGTGATCTTAGTGAACAACTATTGTAAATCTTTCTTTTTTTGACAAATGGGAGTTACGATAAAGCGTATCACTGAGATCACTTTGTTGGACATGCGTCTGGGCCCACCCGCACAAAGAAATCTTAGTGAACAACTATTGTAAGTCTCTTTTTTTGCGAATGTGAGTTACGATCATCGTATCACTAAGATCACTTTGTTGAACATGACCCTTGGCCCACCTGCACAAAGAAATCTTAGTTAACAACTATTGTAAGTCTTTCATTTTTTGACAAATGAAAGTTACGATAAGCGTATCACTAAGATCTCTTTGTTGAACATGTCTCTGGGCCCACCTGCGCAAAGTGATCTTAGTGATCAACTATTGTTTAAGTCTATCTTAAAGCATGTGACATTTTGACAAGCTGACACACTGACGTTTCACTCGGACCATGCACACAGGAATACAGACTAACACGACCAGTGATGTCAGAGGTGCTCTACGCCCATTGCCCACCACACAGCCACTGCACACTGTATCTAGTAACCTGCATGACTGTTGTCTAAGTGTTGTGTAGCCTGTAGTGTTAGCCATTGAATCACAACGTTGTGTGTCCTGTAGTGTCAACCATTGAATCACAGTGTTGTGCATCCTCAAGCATCAACAATTGAATGACAGTGTCGTGTAGAATCTTGCATCAGCCATTAAGTCACATTGTTGTGTCACCTCAAGCATCAACAATTGAACATCTGGAAAAGCGTTGTTTAAACCCACCTCCTTCTTCAGCATTAAGTCCCTGCCCTCACTGTCATCCTCATTGTCATCTTCTTCTCTTCATCATCAACAGCAGCAGCTGCAGCAGCACGACCATCCTAACCCCACAGCTGGCCGTTGAATTGCCTCCCTAATCGCCCAAAACTCCCCTTCTTTTTCCCAAAAATTGTCTTACATACCAAATCCACGTAAACCTTTTCATAGGCCATTACATTTTCTTTGGACATGCATAATTTGAGGACCTGTGAAGTTCCGGGTTATAGAATAGATCTTCAGCAACCCATGCTTGCCGTAAAAGGCGACTATGCTTGTCGTATGAGGCAACTAATGGGATCGGGTGGTCAGTTTCGCTGACTTGGTTGATGCATGTCATCGAACCCTATTTGTGTGGATCGATGCTAATCATGTCAATCACTGGATTGTCTGGTCCAGACTCGATTATATACAGGCCGGCGTTATCCAACAAACACACACACACCTCCTCCCAGCATCAGAACCTGGCACTAGTCCTAAAGTCCTTGCCAAACTGCCCAATAGTAAAGGTATCATAAGGACTAGTAGAAATTTGCCATTTTTATGGGGTTTGCTACATGTTATCATCATAAGGACTAGTGGACTAAAACGGTTAGTTTCTACCCCTGCCTCCTCTTCCTGTTTTTCATCATCAACATCATCATCTCTGCTCCTCCTGAAGGCCCAAGGCTGCTACTTCAGTTTGTTTTGAACATCTCAGGGATATCATCATATGTCCTTCACAGCCTGGGAACCAGTAATGTCAAAGGTCAAGGTCACAGCCTGAAAAAAAATCCATCTTTCTTGCTCCAGTTCCTCTTCCTCCTCCACTCTCTTCCTCCTAGATGTACAATGGTTGATGCTTGAGTTGATTTCACAGAAAACTAGTCCAATATATAACCAAAACTCCCGACCCGTGAAGATCCGGGTTAGGACAGGTCTTCAGCAACCCATGCTTGTCGTGAGAGGCAACTAATGGGATCGGGTGGTCAGACTCGATGACTTGGTTGATGCATGTGATCGTATCACAATTGCGTGGATCAATGATCATGATATCAATCACTTGATTGTCTGTTCCAGACTCAATTATTTACAGACCGCCATCATGTAGCTGGAATATTGCTGAGTGCGGTGTTAAACAACAAACAAACAAAACTTCCTAATTATGTTTGCATGATAAGCTAAGTATGATAATCATTAACATTAGGTCAGCATCACGTTTTGTTTTCTTTCAAGGTTTTAAACAGTTTATCATGTTAAGTCATGTGCAGTAATAATTAAAATATGTTCTTTGAAAAGCCAGACAGAACCAGCTTAGCCCCACAATCCTGATACGTGTCGTGTAGATAGAGCTAAACGGAGATCATTTCCAAGCCACAACATAGGTCCCTTGTACCCTGAGCCTAATGTCATTTTTTAAGTAGGTTGGGCACCAATATGTTGACATTTGACCTCCTTCAGACACAGGGGGCACGGGTGGCCCAGTCGTCTAAGGCGCCGCAATTCGCTGTGCAGAGTTGCGTCCCTTGGGCATGCCAGAAACCTATGATTGTGGGTTTGAATCCCGGCTCGCCCCGATTATGTTTCTAGGTTTGTCGGCACCATAACCGTGCAGGTGGGTTTCACCGAAGTGGTAAACGTCGTAGACCTGCATCACTTCGGGCTTTCCTCCCACATTCAGCTGACACGCTGCGATATAACTGGAACACTGTTAAAAGCGGCGTTAAACCCAACTCACTCACTCACTCCTACAGACACACTAATAATAACTTCTTCTTTGACCTTGGTTTGGGAGCTTGTCTGTGTTGGTTTGAGGGACTATTTCTTCTTGCTGTGGCACTCCTTTCAACTGATCTGTCCAACTGTCGTTAGGTTCGTTGTTGAGCGTAGGAATCTGCCTCCGTGGTGTAGTGAAAAAATGTCTGCCCGGAGAGCGGAAGGCTGGTGGTTCGATCCCTGGACAGGTAAATAACAAAAGACGGTAAAAGATGGTACTTAATGTTACCCTGTCTGACTCTCAGCATTAAGGGGGTGAAACAAGGACTGGTCGGCTTGGAGTCAGTATACTGTGTCTGAGATGGTTATTCATGTTCAACTGCTGCATGGTATCTCAGTAGGCAAGCATATTTCTGCATTAAAAATTGGCACTAGTCCTAAAGTCCTTGTCGAACTGCCCAATAGTTAAGGTATCATAAGGACTAGTAGAAATTTGCCATTTTAAAGGGTTTTGCTATATGTTATCATTATAGACCAGTGGACTAAAACAGTTAGTTTCTATCGCTGTATTTCCGCCGTCACAAAGCTGGAATATTGCTGTGTGCAGCGTTAAACAACAAACAAATCAAGTGTAGGAAAGGCTAGTTTACCAACAAATGACATCCTTACATGACGGGGTTAATCCTAGGAGTCTGAAATGTTATGGCTGCTATACTGTAAATCTTGAAATTAACACAAGCATGAATTAAATGCGAAAAATGCGAGTGGTCTTTGCTCGCATTTTTAAACATCACATTTATATCAACAATAAGACATTTTGGATAGCAAAAATACCAACTTAGACGTACGCTGATGTATTCCACATCACTGTTTATTGAGCAGCACTTGTATATAAAGTATAAAAACAATGTCATTCAAACACCAATTATGTCCTGTGAATTGTCACTGCTGGGGTCAAGACAAGAGTTCTACTCACTTATGTCATCACTGATCACACCTGCTAGTCCAGACAGACGCCACCCTTGCTCTTTGCGACTGCATCAAAGGCCGACACGAGCCAGCACGCATGTATTGTTTTTGCAGAAGTATTTTACTCAGCGCTAATAAGCAGTGCAATTTGGTGTGTGATTGGATTAATGTAAGGTTGGATTAAGGTGAGGATTCTAAACCTGACGGAGGCTATCTTTAGATAGAAATCCACTGATGCTTGAGAGGAGGGGGTGTCGCATTCATATTGAGTCACATTTTGGGCTAGGGTCCAGTGGTCACATTCTTTTGGAGACCCATTTTCACGATTTACAGTATTCAGATAAGATACTTGATCTATCAGCACGTTCCTGTGATCATGGGTTTTCACTACTGCATGCTTTACTGTCATCTCTCCTCCAAAGTTTATCTGACATATTGTTAAGTACTCCTGGAACCAGTCAGACCGGTCTCCTCATCAATTCGTGGAGAAGACAGAATCTCTGAAAAGTCATCAGAGCTCCAGATAGGCTTTTGGTGTTATGGGTATTTTACCCATGCATTTTAAAATCATTGGGTATCAGTAATTCTATCTGGGTATTCAAATTTCTGTTACCCACTAGTTTTTACACATGTGGGTATTTAAGTTAAATATTTAAAAACTCTTAGTCTCGTCCCTGCAAACTGTTGTCTTGTGGGTTCGAGAGCTTTATAGGACTCAAAAATACTGCGATACTTCCACAAGAAAGTGTGATGGCAAATGATCATGATGTAGCTGTCATCATGGAGTTTGGCAAGGTTGACGGAATGTCCGTATATAATTTCAAAATAAGTTTGATTTGCTAATCGAATACGCAGGATTACAACACAATATTTTGAGGAGACGCACTAGTTTTATTTTTGTAGCGTATCTGTAATGTTCGTTGCGTATTTGATACACTTGAATTTTATTTCACTGCATATTTCTGCATATCTGATGTGTATTTTACGCAGATACGAAACTTATCTGGAGCTCTGGTCATTGAGAGATACAAAAGCATTGTCATCCCTGTAATTTCTAGGAAAACATAAGTAGTATTAAAATGAAAAAAAAAACACTTGGTTTTCAGACAATGACTTTGAAACAGTCAAAATTGTATTTATGTTGACTTATGTGAATGTTGAAACAGAAAAAAAGAGCATAAGATTAAACTGAAATTGTTTGTAGCCTATGCACGTAACTAGCAACGAGAAAGCATGGTTTTGACATTAGCATGTTAACCCAAGTAAGAATCTAGCAATAGTTTAGATATGATGGATTAATGAAGGATCGGTGCATTTTAGATGGCATGAAAATGGGATTAATCTTCTCACAACATCTTGTTATCTAGATGGAGTTAAAAAAAAGAAATCTTCAGAACTACCGATTGCTGTCTTGAATAAAAACAAATTTAGTGATCTCTTGTTCAAGCTTTGAATGATAATTCTCTCATTGCTTAATGCTTGCCTCTGCTTTCTAGCAAGGGTTATCTCCCTTCAAGCCACACAGTGATGTGAGCAGATTAGAGTTACTTCCCATGCCGGGGAATGAGAGTGTAGAATCAGATGCCGTCGAATGGAGGACAAATGAAGCGTATCAGCGAAGAAAACGCCCCCTTTCGTCCAATTCCACTCCACCAAAATCCACGTCCTCGTACAACAGTCTTGCTAAGCTAGTCATTGGGGACCCATCCCCACAATCACAGAGCAACGTAAGTGCATGTCAGTCATAGCCACGCCCATTAGCCACGCCCCTACAGCATGACATAACATAGAGCCCTCTTAATAGCCTCCAATGTACTGGACCTAATACCACCGTACGTATACGCTCTAATGGACTGGTCAACACCCACATCAGCAGCTATGTGATGGGCTCAAATATCTCAGATGAAGCTGTGAGGTTTTCAAGCTTTCAGCTTGTCTGGCTTATTCAAGTTCGAAGGAAAATGGGTTTTTTGTTTAAAAAACAAATATGCTTTGTGAAAAAGGTTTCATAAACCTCTAGATTTATGAACACAAGGTGCTGGGAAGTAACCTTTGGTGCTATGGCTTGGAAAAATTATTGTCTTACGATTTTATTTGTAAAGGTGTATGGGGCAGTGTTTTGAATATTGAATGCTTTCCGGGCATTTTCAAGGAGGAACCTTGGTCATATTATGTATACAGGAAGATAAACTATTTAGCGCTTACATATATACAGCCTTGCTTATGACATATAGTCCTTTCTGTATACATCAGTATTATGTATCACATTTCTGCTTATATATATCAGTATATTAATATATACAGTATATTGATGTCTCATGTGGAGGGGTGGTCGGGTAGCCTAGTGGTTAAAGCGTTCGCTCGTCACGCCGAAGACCCGGGTTCGATTCCCGACATGGGTACAATGTGTGAAGCCCATTTCTGGTGTCCCCTGCTGTGATATTGCTGGAATATTGCTACAAGCGTTATGAACTCATACTCACTCACTATTGTATATATAGTACTCTGGATATATGCATAACAGTAACAAAATTAACAAACACTGCATATGCACCTACACACATACACGACTCTAATGTGTTCTGTTTCAGCTACAGTTTGAGTAAATCTTTTGTTTATGTTTTTGCTTTGTTATTTTGTTATTTAGGAATTAATCTCGTAAAGAGTGTAGATATTGCTGACATGGCGTTTTCCCACAAACTGTCTTTGTATGCTGATTCTGATCATGATTTTGAACATTGGAACAAAAGAATTGTTTATTGTCAGGCTATTATTAATAATTAATTGATCATTAACTGATAATCTCCATTCTTTTGTGGCAGTTTGATATTAATATGGAAACATTATATATCCAAAACTCAATTTTATAAGCTTTTTCAAATTGGTTACTGACTATTTGACATTCCTGAAAAAAGAGATTCCAGTGTATGCTGGAAATAATTTTGCCTTTTTAAAAATGGAAAAACGATATGGAAATAGTGTTGTGAAACAAATGAATCTGCTAAAAAAAATATGTGGATGCAAGGATATTAAGTGGTCGGTCCCAAAGACAGTTTGTGGGTGATTTCAGGGGACTGTCTCACACAGACACCTGTTGTAGTGATTAACTGTAGCATGGATTTGTTGTCTGATTCCCACAGAGCAGAGATGTTGTCAGACGTGAAAAAAATAAATTTGGATTTTGTCCCTTTCACTTCATGACTGTTGAGTTCATTTACAATTCATGATATCTGTTTGACCAGAGAAAGTAATTCATCAGGTGATGCCAATTTAAGTACTTCTGTTACAGATCAGGCTCTTATTTTTAGTCGTATTTCTCTCTTCCTAACCCCTTTCACCCTATATTCCCCTTCTCCATCACCCCCCAAAAATTACAGGGGCGGTGGGGTAGCCTAGTGGTTAAAGCGTTCGCTCGTCACGCCGAAGACCCGGGTTCGATTCCCCACATGGGTACAATGTGTGAAGCCCATTTCTGGTGTCCCCCGCCGTGATATTGCTGGAATATTGCTAAAAGCGGCGTAAAACCATACTCACGCACTCACTCACCCAAAAAATACAAAATCATCTTGTTTAGTCACCTTTTATCTCCAAAATTATAATTTACAATTTTAGACAACTGTTAAGACTTCACTTGAAGTGAATTGGGATTGGGGGGTAGCCTAGTGGTTAAGGCGTTTGCTCGCCATGCTGAAGGTCCGGGTTTGATTCCCTGCATGGGTACAGTGTGAAGACAATTTCTGGTATCCCCTGCTGTGATATTGCTGGAATTTGGCCAAAAGCAGCGTAAAAAAACATACTCACTCACTCACTGAAGTGAAACGGTAGCATTCCCAACCCAACATTTCACACAAAAAAGATGGGTAAAGACAGTAGCAGTAACGAAGTAAGTTCAGTATTTATTTCCCTCCTGCCTAAGGTATTTGTTTGGGTTTGGTTTGGGTTTTTTTGGTTTGGTTTTTGGGGGGGCGAGGGCGGATTCTGTAAATAAGTAATGAAATTGGCCAACCCAAAATCAAAGAATATTTAAGGACAAAAAGAATTCCCCATAACATAATTTATCATCATAAAAATCCCAGGCATTTTTTCCTATCTAACGGAAGATGCTCTAGACAGACATAATGATGTCACAAAAATATCATTTTTTGAGTTTTGACATCTCTGCTCGACCGTAACCTTTACATCACCCACTGTTCTGTCGCTTGCTTGAGTCTGTCACCATGGCAACGATCGCTCTCTATTTCTCTGGCTTGTAGAAAATCCACGTGAGAAAAGTGTGGCACATGCAGCCAACCACCACCTCCCCTTGCCCACCGACTGACCATAACGGCCATAACTTTCAGAATGACATAGAGGTATGTATGGCAGCACCTGCTCTCATTGGTCAAAATTGGCAGGAGGAAATCTGATTGATGGACTTTTTTATATATTTTGATTTCTGCACTCAAAAGGAGATTTGAGTAATATTTCACTGATCAAGCATAATGGTAAGTCGTTATTGAATTGACATAGAGGCATGTGATTGGTGGATTTTTAAAAATTTATTCTGGAAAGCTGTTTGGGGTAACGTTTTATTAATCAAGCATAATGGTAAGTAGTTATTGGGGAAATCGTAATCGATGTAATCAAAGCCTGGATGTTTGAAAAGGTCTGATGCCAAAAGGGTAGGGAACTTATTGTAGAGGTGCTATTGTGTTAAATTGGTAAATGGCTTCAGTCCTGAAGAGGTCTTGCATCATGAATATTCCCAGGGTTTGTAGAACGCCTCCGTGGTCTAGTGGTAGAGCGTCCGCCCGGAGAGCGGAAGGTCCGGGATTCGATCCCCGACCACGTCATACCAAAAGACGTTAAAAGATGGTACTTGTTGATACCCTGTCTGGCGTTCGGCATAAAGGGACTAAAACAAGGACTGGACAGCTCAGAGTCAGTATACTGTGTCTGAGTGGGGTATTCATGTTAAACTGCGGCATGGTATCTCAGTGAGCTAGCACTATAAATCAGCATCAGTCAGGACTAGTACAATCAGCCACACAAACACACATGTACATGCACGTCGCTATATAAGTGCAATAATCTTGGACGCGACGTTAAACCTCGTTTCACCTTACCTCACCCCAGGGTTTGTATACGCCACGTTCCTGCATCAGCCGCAACTACATAGTCTTGATGTACGTTGTCGTGATGACACTGTGTTCAGTCAGGTGGTGATGGTCAAGAAACATGACCATGTATGCAATGTCGTCTGAGTGCTCACTAATCCCATCTTCGGGATAGAATAGGTCTTCAGCAACTTATGTTTCTCATAAGAGGCGACTAACGGGATCGGGTGGTCAGACTCACTGACTTAGTTGATACATGTCATCGTATCCCAATTACTTGGATCGATGCTCATGATGCCAGTCACTTGATTGTCTGGTCCAGACTCGATTATTATAGCTAGAATATAGCTGAGTGCGGCGTTAAACAATAAACAAACAAACTGATCTGATCAATGACTGGTTTCCCTCATGCTTCAGCTGGCTGTGGCTTGATTTGGTGGTTAAAAATAGCAACAACACCACATACCATATTTGACGTAATAAGCGCCCACGGCGACATTTGCTAATATATTGGCTCGTGAACAATCCCAATTAGCACCCCTTCCGATTGATCAATGTACACAAGACTTATTTATCCACATATAATACGCACTCGTGTGTTATATGCACCCTTAATTATGGGCACTTAAATTCTGGAAAAATATATCCTTCGTATATAAACACTTCAGGCTGTCAACATAAACCATGAAATTTATCTTTCAACTCCGTTTTTTTCACCCAAATAATATTCTAATAAGAGCCCCCTATTTCTAATTTTGAGAGCGCCCTGGGCACTTATTACGTTGAATACGGTAACAGACGTATGTATTCATCATTGATGGAGGAACGCAGTGTATACAAACCCCGGAAGTATTGAGGATGGATGGGTTGTTGAATAAACTGAATGGCATCATGACACTAATTTCAGTGTGTGTTTACGTCATTATGAGATGTCCTAGAAAGTCTTTTCAATTAAAGATTATTTCCTTGTACTCGTTACACTTATTGGAGAATTCTTAATTTGTGGGGGCGGTCGGGTAGCCTAGTGGTTAAAGTGTTCACTCATCACGCCGAAGACCCAGGTTCGATTCCTGACATGGGTAAAATGTGTGAAGCTTATTTCAGGTGTCCCCAGGAGTGATATTGCAGGAATATTGCTAAAAGCGGCGTTGGGCGTAAAGCCAAACCTGCTCGATCTTAATTTGTGTGTTAAAAATGGCAGCAGTGTGAAATTCCCTTGTGTCAGTTACGGTATAAATATCTTTTTTATGAATATGGAAGAGAATGTATTTGTGAGTGTCATTTGTCCAACTACAGAGCTTGCACCTACTAAAATGTTTATTTGTTATTTCTGTCATTAGATAGGACCTGGATGAGAATGTTTTAATTATAATTACCTGAGTGAAATACTAACGAGCATGTGAATGTAGGGGGGAGGATTGCTTCACCTGTACGTAAAACAAGAAAAAATGATTATCTGATACTTTGGTACGTATGTCTCTTTAAGATGTGAGAATCTGATGTTGGATATCATGATTGATTCAAACACTTCTCATTCAACAGTAATTGTGTTTAAAATACTTTCAAAAGTTTTGAGATTATCCCTAAATTTGAATAAACAAATCACAGCCAGTATTATTATCTTTTTTTTTCTTTGAAACAATTTGTAAAAGGTGAATCGAACATTTTGTTCAATAGTAATTTCATATAAAGACCTTCAAATTTTTGAGACAATCCCTAAGTTTGAATGAACCAATGATGGTTGGTACTGTAATCTTTGAGTTTTCAGAGGAAGGTTTTCATTTATTGAATTATCCAATCAATGTTAATGATGTAAGCCTTTTCTATGTATTTTATTCAGCATGTTAGTGTATCAGGAATATATATGAAGACTTTTGAAGGTTTAGAAAATATCCTAGAAATTTATGAAACAATGTGATTTGAACTTCGCAGTCAGTGTTTTATTGACCAATTAGAGTCAGGTTATTTTCAGTGTGATTTTAATCAAACATAATCTATGTTTCGTAAGCCAATCACAGTCAGAGTTTTATTGGCCAAAGAGAGTCGGGTCATAGACAGTGTGATATTAACCCATCGCGGTCCATGTTTCATTAGCTGATCACAGACAGTGTATTATTGACCAATCAGTGTCAGGTCATAGTGTGATTTTAGTCAATCACAGTCCATGTTTCATTAGCCAATCACAGTCAGTATTTCATTGACCAATCAGAATCAAGGTTATATACAATGTCTCGTTAGCCAATCAGTCAGTATTTCATTGACCAATCAGAATCAAGGTTATATGCAATGTCTCGTTAGCCAATCACAGTCAGTATTTCATTGACCAATCAGAATCAAGGTTAGATACAATGTCTCGTTAGCCAATCACAGTCCATGTTTCATTGACCAATCACAATGTTGTGTTCTCAGCTGAAGAAGGCTTATTTCCGCCAACAAGAGGAGCTGAACAGTCTGAAAGAGCAGCTCCGGCTCAAGGACAAGCGCATCTCACAGCTCGAGGACGAGGTGCAACGACTCCGCGGCAAAGATGGAGATCAGGGCGAGAGTAACTGTTGATTCATGGGAGATGTGTCCGAATTCCACAAACATATTATTTCCATGGAAATGAAAAGATAATGTAGGAACTGTATTGGTCAGTATGAAGTGAGAGATTTCGGAGGGGTTTATTGGCCCTTTGACACAAACATAAAATCATGTATCGGGTAAATTTACTTCCTGTGTTAGATATATTCTGATGATGCTGACAAATCTCCACCCAGTTGTTGAATGTCTACTGCCACAGGGACTCCACCATGCCTTGCACATGTTGGGCAGGTTCATCAACATGAAAAGGGTGTGGCATGAATTATTCGCTAAACCATACTCTCATCCACCATTTGTTGGATAACAAACTTTCAACTCCTGTTAACACAAACACCAAGAGACCGTTATAACCTCTTTATGTTATAACCCTCTTTTGTTATATCCTACTTTTCATTATGTCTTTTATATATCCTAGTTTGTTGCATTCAGAGCTCATTGATTTTTTTCTGGGGCTGGGACGATACACCAACAGTGGATCCGATACGTATCATGATACCTAGCTTAGGAGCCAATACGTATCACAATACTTGCATGTGCTCTTATCTGTGGTGCGAAAGCCATCTGTTTCATAATCAGGATGGGCAAATACCTGGCACTTGGCGATTTTTTTTGGATTTTTTGTTTATTTGATTTTTTATTGTTTTATTATTAGGCACCTGGCAATCTACAGATAGTAGTGTCAAGTATGGTGCAATGGATGGAAATATGTACGTTTTCGCTACTAATTTTCACTACTGATTTGTGTTTGCTGTAACAGTTATAAAAGCAAACATTTAAGGTGAGAATCAATATTTTTTAACTTAGTGTGCGACTGTGATTGATATTTGTAGCGAGAAGTAAACAATTGAGGCATTGGTGTATCGTCCCACTACTAGACTTTTCATCCCTATATCATGAGGTTTGAATCTTGAAAAGTTACTGAGACTTGACATCAGCTATAGAGACCAGGGCCCATTTGCACAAAGCGATCTTAGCTCTAAGATGATCGTAACTCCCATGCTTTAACATAGGCTTACAATAGTCCTAGCACTAAGATCGCTTTGTGCAAGTGGGCCCAGATCAGCTTCAGAATACCGACACTGTAGGAGTGTGATCACATTACAAAGCAGTTCATGCATGTGTTTTGGACGCTGTAGAATCAGAAAAATTCATTTTTGAAGCAGATTGTACCGGACGTTTTTCATTTATGTTACATGACATGCTTGGAAGTATTTTGCAAAATACACCTTGGCAGTGAGGTTATCAACAGATACACTTGTCCAATAGCCAAATGCTAGGAGATGTAATAATTGAAAAATATGTATTGAAAGTCACCTCATTTGGATAAAATTATGTTTTTAGCTTTAGGGTAAATATATGCTGTTTTGTAGTTTTCAAGCAAGTTTTCTGTGGGAGAAAGGATTGTTTTGTAGCATTTATGCTGTTAGCTACTTGAAAACTGTGCCTGTTAAACCATAGCTATCTTGACATTGATGGAAGTCATATGGGTCAAGGTCAAGGTCAAAGTTATGTGGTGTGAATGTCAAGGTTATGTGGTGTGAAGGACAAAGTCATGTGGTGTGAAGGACAAAGTCATGTGGTTTTACGGTTATGTGTGTAGGTCAAGGCCATGTGATGTGAAGGTCAATGTTATATGGTGTGAAGGTCAAGGTCATGTGATGTGAGATGGTCAGTGATTCACTGGTTGATGTAATGATTTAACCGTATTATGGGCTTGGATGTAAGTGTTTCTCTGGGATTAAACTTCTTGTTACAAACAAGTATCAACATTGTGTCATGTGAACATCTTCAGGCACCTTGACATAATACAACATAGAGAGCTGGTTGGCTCAATAAGGGTGAAAAAATACATGGTTGATATGGAAAATGTTTGAAAGTGGTTGATACAGGAGTAATTTTTTCAACTTATTTTGATCTTCATAGCCCTATTGTTTATATAGCGTGCTGCTGTATTAGAAACAGACATGGAGGATACAGGTATCCGGTATTCTGTAAGTTTATCGTCATGGAAACAGGCTTGATCAGGTAATGGTGACTACAAGAAACGTTGGTTCCTGTCCTAGATGCGTTCTTTCTGGTGCTTTTAGTTGTTTAGAGACGAGGTGACATATTTGCCATTACTATCAGGGATGTACCATAGACGGCCATGTTCCGTTCAAGTTGACAGTTTAACAAGCTGAAGTAGTTCTCAACATACCTCAGTTGGGTCAGGGAGATTCTAACCATTGTCTGGAATATACTGATGGGCAATAGTGAAGTGAACAAGCTGATTGTGAGTGCTCAGTGACAAGCATTAACAACATTAAAAATGTCTGGTGTAGCACTTGCCGCCAAATTTCAATCCACCAGGGTATGTGTATGATGTAGGGTAGCATAGTGGTTAAAGTGTTTGGCAGCCTGGGTTCGATTCCACCAGGGTATATATGTGGTGCCAATTGTGGTTGCCCTCTGTCACGACTTGAATTTCCAAATGATGGCTAAAAACATGAATCCATAATCTTTATGTCTGTTTCATTATTGTTTTCCATCAGTATAGCCCTGGGTAATCCGTCTTGAGTCTCTTCTCCATTCCCAAATTTGTGAATATTTCAATATTTCTGTTAATCCTTTACATTCATTAAATTGATGGCATTGATTAAAGGTCGACTTGAAGTTTCACAAACATCAGCTCCCTTGAAATTCTTTGAGGGCATGATTTTCTCTGTAGTCTGAGGAATCACAATTCTTTCTGCAGAGTTGCGTCCCTTAGGTGTACCAGAAACCAAAAATTCTTACAAATCCTCTACCTCCATTACATCACTTTTCTCCCACATCAAGCCGACACGTCATGTAACTGAAATACTGTTCAACAAAACTCTCTGCAAGGGTTGTTCTAGCACATATAACTCTGCTATTACTGTTTAACTGCTGACTAGTCATGTCTTTTTGACAAATATCATCTTGACAAACCTGAACGTTTTAGTTGTAAAGTATTCAGCATGACATTTTCCTCTACAATCTCATTAAATTCAGATCTTAGTTCTGGCTATTGCTAAACAAAGATCTGAGGACATCCCATTACGGGTCACGTCAGACCGACCTTGCACGAATTTTGACATTAGCCAATCAGAACGCAGCTTTCTCGTGCTTTATGGCACTAATTTCAAATTGGCGACTACGCTTCGAAGCATATATTTTGACAAATTCTCGATTAAAAATTTGAAACCTGAACAAAAGAACATTCTGGAATGGCAAATATATGGTCTAGATTGTATGGATTCAGTCGTTAAACCCGTAACTATCGTTTGGAATACCCCATGTTATAGTTTTCGAGGTTGCATGATTAGAAATCACATTCCGACTGTCACTTTCATGATCTGGTAAGCGACGCTCTGATTGGTCGGATGAAAGGTTGTTCTGACATGACCCCTAATGGGATGTCCTCAGATTTTTGTTTAGTGGTAGTGAGAACTAAGATCTGGGCCCACTTGCACAAAGCGATCTTAGCGCTAAGATGATCGTAACTCCCATACTTTAACATAGGCTTACAATAGTCTTAGCGCTGAGATCGCTTTGTGCAAGTGGACCCTGATTTTAATGAGATTGAGCTCCACTACTGCTTGTGTGTTTACTGAATTATCTCAGTACAATGATCTGAAAGATTTGTAACATGTTTTCAGCGAAATATTTATGCTTAATACTTGCAAGCTATGATTTGAAGCTTGACTCTATTACCTTGTGTGCTTGCTGTAAATGACTTCGGATCCATCCCTATCTCTGAGTCAGTTGTTGATGTATATATTGTTCCGGTTGGTTAATGAGTGATATTTAGATTTTTTGTTATGAGAACTTGTGCAGAAAATGTGTCAGTATTTTACAATAAATTGTATACTCGTGATACTTATCCTATCCCCGCATCACAATTAAGAGAATGAGTTGGCTGGGGAAACCACGTGTTCAGCATGTGTGGGTCGATCGGCAAGACAAGCATGAGTAGCGGGCATAAAATTTCCGAGTCCCTTGATGGGATTCGAAACACAGACCTTCTGATCCGAGGTCGGACGCCTTGTCCACATGACCAAAGAGGTTAACCCCGTCAGTAAGCTGACAAGGTAAGGATGTCATCCGTGGGACGACTCCATCCCCTGGTACATTTGCATGCCCCAGATTGTTGGTGATGCTGAGTGTGTTTGGGTGAATCGTTTTTTTAAGAAGCTGGAAACCTTTTTCTAGGCATGTTGTCACTTGGGATCGAAAGAAGGAAGAGAAATGCATTGTGGGAGACAGGATAAGTTGTATCACTATACAATTAATTGTAAAATTTACAGGTTTTTTTTACAAGAAGTGCAGAAAATATATATGTAACTCTTTCAATGAGGCATTGTGAGGTGTGTTTTTCAAGAGGCGACTAGGTGTAATCAAAGGCTGCTGTTTGTGGCGAATGCTTTAATTCGTCAATGGATGCTGTTTGTGGAGAATGCTTTAATTCGTGAACCCTTCTCGTCGCATCCCAATTACATGGATCGATGCTCATGACATCAATCACTGGATTGTCTGGTCCAGACTTGATTATTTACAGACCGCCGTCATACAACAGTGCGGCGTTAAACAACAAACAAACAAATAATTTCAGAGCCCAGGGAAGACTACCATTTTCCTCACTGTGACCTTTGTGTTGACGTGGTCTGTAAACTTTCTCTGTGTGGCAACCTGCCAAGACAGATCAGCCATTATTATCTAAGAAAGAGATAAGCATTCCCCGATGTGTCATTAATTTTACCCTTGTCTTACAAAGCTGTTGTCCAGCGTCTGCTGGCTGTCACGAAAAATCTCTACACATCATAAAGGTGTCGCAGCTCAAGGACAGCCATTAACAAGTCTGAGGTTTCCATTGCACACTGGCTGGCATGTGTAATTAATTAAGGTGGATTAGCTTTCAGTTAGACAGTAGAGAGCATAGACAAAAAGTGTTTGATGTCAAATGAATTCTGATGTCATTTGAGTTAATTTATATATTTTCTGTCACAATACTTTCACAATTCCATATGTAAGTTAGTCATGGTAGACTGATTCTCAAATCAGATAGTTACAGATTTCCTGTATTGGAGTCACTATTTTAGTGGATATTTTCTGTCCCCCAGTTGTAGAACGCTACAACATTTTAAATGTTTACTGAATATTTTAAATTTTGCCACAGACATTGTTTTACAGTGATAATCTGTTGATATTGATGTTACAAGTTATTTCATGGAAATATTGTTTGTTTTCGTACTTCTGTTCTTGTTTTGAAAATCAGAATATCCAAGTATAGCACTTACATGTACAAAAAATATATTTATCACTTAACACTTGTATATAAACACAGTCACCAGGCATAGATACTTAGTGCTCATTGCAACCCTCTGAACCCTAAATAGGAACAGTCGACACATTGTGTAGGGAAAGTTCATTGTTGCAGATAGGGTTGTAAGCGTAGTGAGTCACCTGACTATTTAAACACAAACGTTTCAAAACAATATTTTGAAATAATTCTGACATTTGGAGGGTGTTCATCTCAGAAAATTTAATTCTGAAAAAAACTAATTCAAGAAATTAAAAATAGTTATTTGAAATAACAGCGAGATCTGCAATATGGTGAAATAAGAGGATTGTGATGCTAACATGAGTAGGAGATTTGAACGTTTGTTGTCAGGTTTGAGCTGAAGAGCCACGATGGATTAATCATTCCATACAACGCTGATTATATGCCTTGCACAGGGGAGGTAACTCCCGATAGCCTTTTTTGTATATGGTATATATTGCCTGTTTTCTAATCACATTTAAAAGCAATAGGTTCAATAATCATTTCTAGGATTCGGTAAAATTTGATCTGTGTGAAGACAAATTCAGCTCAGTATTATACACTGAAAGACAACATTTGATAAAATTCTGTGTTGTAGGAACAGGAACATTATTTGCAATGCTCTGACAAGGCCACAATCTTTAACTCTTTTCCATGTTAAAGTGGTTGCCACTAATGTGTCATTTCATCATCTTTATCTTCACAAACTAGTGTTTATAACCAGTTACTGGGAAGGAAAGTGGTCTAAGGTGTTGTAATTCACCTTGGAGAGTTGCATCCCTTTGCTGTTTCAGGATCATCTCGTGGTTGGTTTGTATTTTAAATTCGTCCAAATATGGCCATGCTCGTGGGTTTAACCAAAGGGGGAACGTTATTACATGTCACTTAAACTGTCGGCATGGCCTAATATTTTTCGGTTGCTTGAAAGAAAAACCGCAAAATGAATTACCTGGTTAGCTAATCAAATGCAATATATCTATTCGGATATACAGAAAGTGGTGTTACGCCCATCTCACGATAGATTAAATTTTACCGACATCTCAAAATCAACAACCATCCAATCTTTAATGTACAGAGTATACCTTGTTTGTAGATAACCAATCTTGTTGCTGTTATTTTTATGATAAACCATACATTGTTCTTTCCATGCTCCCAGAAGCAGTGTATCCGCATGTCTGTTATAGGACTTGTAGAGTCACGTGATTCCTATGATTTTGTGTTGTGTTGCTACTGTAGACGAACGGCGATGTCAGGCCTTTGTGAATACATCACCGGTTGCATACACTTGTTCCTCCATCACCCGTGAATAGAGATGGTGCCTCACGATGTTGTTGCTGTTTTTACCCAACAAATCAAGCCACGGCCTGATTCCAGCGAGAAGGAAGCCAACAAGTGCTCCGACCAATGAGCACGAAGATTTCATCACACAAACAGCAATATCTTTCATGTGCCGCAAACTCAGAAATCTATTGGGGCTGGGATGGGTAACTCGGGTCTGGTGGGTACTGAGTAGGACCTGATACCCAATGAGCACGAAGATTTCATCTCACAAACAGTAATATCTTTCATGTGCCGCAACCTCATTTAATGGGGCTTGGACGCGTTACTCGGGTCTTGTGGGTACTGAGTAGGACCCGGGTATCCAAAGGACTACCAGGACCCGTGTTTAGTCACGTGATATATTGTTTCATGTAAAAAATTCACTACAACTCCATGGTTATCTACAAATAGCTAATGTTCTCAAATCTTTCTGACAATACTTATGACTTTTATATAATTTGAGTTATCATACAGCTTCAGTCAACTTCAGTGTATGCATGACCAGATCATTTTATAGATGTACCTAAATACATTTCCCTAAATACAGTCCAGTAAAACAATTCCTCATCGGACATTTTGTACAGAAATTCTTGAACCTACAGCAGGTGCCTGGGTAGGATCGGGTAATAGGGGGTCAGGTACCCGGGTAGGGTCGGGTAATAGGGGGTCAGGTACCCGGGTAGGATCGGGTAATAGGGGGTCAGGTACCCGGGTAGGATCGGGTAATAGGGGGTCAGGTACCCGGGTAGGATCGGGTAATAGGGGGTCAGGTACCCGGGTAGGATCGGGTAATAGGGGGTCAGGAACCCGGGTAGGGTCGGGTATCCTTGTAGTAGATCTGGACTCGTCCCATCCGTACCATCTGTCCTGCGTGTTGATTCAGTAGCAGGTGATGATAGGGTTCATATGACTTCACATACTTTCGGGAGCTACACGACGACTCACGGATGATGGAGGAATGTAGTGTATGCAAACCTGTGAAGTAACCACAATGTCCGATAGTTTGATCATTCATTTTGTCAGTGAGGTTATTTTATGCCAATAAAAATTGTTATGCAATTAGAAATAATGCTATTTAGTTTCCAAAATTTATCATTCTAGCAAAATTTATATATTAGCAAAAATGATATATATACTGAACAAAATAAGTTAGGGATTATGAATATTTTTTAGCCTATTTTTATGAAATTGCGTGCCTCACTGCAAAAAAATATTCCACTAAAAATATCCATGATCCCCAACTTGTTTTTTAGTATATATATATACCCGTGTACATCAGGAAACGTTTTGTATGTGAAATAGAAATTTATTATTTTTTACAGAAAGTTGGACTCGTTATTTCACAAACTGCCTTGAGCAAAAACTTGCCTTTGTGAGAATAGAATATAAAGTGCAATTTGGTAATATGCAATCATGATGATAGAGAACCTGAAGCTGATGCTGAATGCTTGTTCAGGGCCCAGTTTCGAAATAAGGTC